CTTCAACTACGTACACGACCGGGCCATTATAGAGCACAACAGTCGCTCGCAGACGCAAGCTTCGCCTAAAAACAATCGCAACGCTCTCTTTCACCCCCGACGCGCTCACTTCACTCCCTGTCTCAGAATCAGACGTTACTCTTATTGCGGCCAGGTGGTCCAGAAGTTGAACTTCCCCTTTCCTTGCCCTCAGCCTCTGGACGACAGGTACTCATCCGCTGGGGCAATTCGACTCTACGCATTCTGGTCAATTACCCCTCACGGTTCTGCTGACGTTGCTCACCCTTGGCGCGTTGATGAGGCGGCACATATCCTCGGCACATCCAATGGTCCAAACCCCGTCTTTTTACGATTTACATAACTTAGACACGCCGCCCGCATACGCCCAAGACACCCGACATATCCGGCGACGCAACGGCTCCTTTCCCGGTACCCGACGGCTCTTCTACGGCGGTTCGGCTCTACTAGTCCGCGTATCGGCAACCCGAATACCGCCGATACACCCGACGGTCCGCGTTTGACTTAGAAAATGTTGCGATCCTACTTCCATCACTCCTGCCCTCGTACGAATTACTTCCCCATCGTGTTCCTGCAGATCTACTCGCTCGGCGCCTCTATCATTCCTGTCACCAGCGGATTTGTCCTCACCGTTCCCCCTATCCACTAATTTCACATCTTCCTATCCCTCGTCTTTATTTAGCCCCGTTCACAACGTACGAGTCCAGTATAAACCCGTCGTTCGCTCTTAGGATGACGGTAGGACTTGTCGTCACTCGGTTCTAGCATCCGGCACTACTCGGCACTTCTCTTATGCGTCACTAGTTCGATTGATACGTCGTCGGCTCTTTTGTATATAGGACCCGCATGTACAGTAGGATTCTCCAGTGAGGAATACACCGCGTTTTCCCCCTCTAGAGTCAGACCTTCAGCTTTCCCCCTTCTACCTCGGAGCTTTTACCGTTCTACTTCGCATGCACGGCACTATCTCCTCCCTCTACCCGATCTTAGCAAGACAGATTTAGTAGGACACTACAGGTGTGTGCCGTGTCGAGTTTATCTTTGCGTTTCACTTCTCGCCGGGTCTCCTTCCGGTACGGCGGCTCTTAAGCCCCCGTTCGTTCAGCTCTATTCTGCGCATTTGCAGCCATAGACGTGACAATAATGCATTATATTGTGGCCATAGCCTAAAACACAATACATTATGTTTCGGCACATTCCGTGCCGGCCATTTAATTGCTAGAATTGCTTTGCTAGGCCTGCTATGGCCTGGTTATCTGTAAATAATCGCCAAAAATGGCAATAAATCATAATTATCACTTTTGTATAAGATTTGGGCACTACAATCGGTTCTAGTGCGCTTTTTTGATTAGATCCTGCTATTGTATTGGTTTGTAGTCCGCTTTTTTCATTAGAAATAGTGCATTAGATCAGTTTGTAATGCACTTTTGTAATGAAATTTCGAAAATTGGTTTTCAGCCTTGGGTCCCATAACAAAAGTTGTTAGTTGGATTAGATTGATTAGTAAATCTGAAGAGACCTCGCTGCCAATGCCTCTAGATATGGCTGTATTGAATACCTTCATGGTTCAGCAAAACTCTGGCTCGAAAATTTGCTCAAATTCCTAGGGTTTACTAATGAACGTTGTAGCTGGTATATGGTTGACTACAAGATCCAAAAGATCCGATTAGAAATTCGCTCTGGCTGGGGTTCTAGAGCCATTACAATTTTGCGATGTAACCCTAATCTAGGGTCAACTTCGAAAACTTGTTACTTTGTAATGAAACATGCTTCAAATGAAGTGCAATGGCTTAGGTTCCTTGGTGAGGAATGTTAGCCAGGTATGAACGTCTATTACTACGTTGAAATTGCATTAATATCTGTCAAAATGACTGACCCGGATTTCGGAGTTTACCCTAGTCTAGGGTCAGCCAAGCTAAAGTGCAGAAAGATGATGTCCTATGGCTTAGTGTCACTATCACGAAATGTTCACCACACATATTTAACGGTAAATACCCAAGATTCCATTCAATTATTTCATATTCCCCCCTGCAGAGCCATATCCTAGCCTCAATTTCGATATTTTAGGAATATCATATTTAATACACTGTCTGAAGACTCCAAATATTGGCACGATATGGTGTACCAATATGTACCAACGCATTGCAACGGAGATATTGTCTGTAGCTGTCCTGGTTCCATTGATATAGCCTTAGGAGTCTGGGTGGAATAGCCCCTATTCTGCCTTGATCCGCCTCAAATCATTCAGTAGACTCGAAATAAATGTTCGCATTCTGTACTAAACCATTCTATACAATATATAGATGATTCAGAAATTTTTGTACCCTTTTAAACCGGGGTATTTCCCAAATACCTCGAATTTACTTCCTATTTACCCTGAAATATACCTAAGAATGATGTATTACTGCACCTGTGACAAAGTACATACCCCATGCCTGTCATTAGAATGCTCTATTGACCTTCTATAGTGATTAACTGATGTTTTGATAACAGTCTGAGGATGTATCAGAACACATCCAACTGAATACACTGCAGTGCACACCTGCTGATACCTTACCATCTCATTGTCAGGTAATTTCGATGTATGTAACCCAATACACCTGGGATTGTTATGAAACTTGGGATTAACACTTTCCTACTCATTAGAATACTGCTTAAGACGTTATATATCCTATTATTCTGCATAGGACTTCATAATGAATATTTTAGAGCGAAGAAATCGCGAAATCACCACGGATTTGCTGCATAGTGCCGTGAAGAACTGGACTAGCACCCGTGGATTACCTGGAATATTTGGAGGGGTACTAATCAAACATTTCAACTCACTGAGGCGAAACCATACATGTGTAATCCAGCCCAGTATACCGCATTTTCCTTATGATAGGGGCTAGTGATGAATGACTAAATCGCTTATATCTGCGGCCACAACGGTTGGATTTGCATAGGACTTAGTACGAAATGTTTGGAAATACCTGTGAAACATTTCGTTCCACTGTAACGAGTGAGGAGGATCGTGTAATACATAGTTTGACTACAAACATCGACAATACACCATTTCCGCTGTGGCGCCACACAAACAACAGTTTTGTAATCGCATATTCCGGATTCCGAAGTCAACCATATGATCCCTACAACATCCATTAAGCGACCTAAGCATTTGAACGAAAATTTAAAATCAGATTTTCGTCTGAAGGACAAGGGGTGTCTGGTTCACCTATATCCATTCACATTTTGTAATGGGTCTCTGCAGATCTTGAAGTGAATCTAATCCAACTAACAAGTTTTGTTATTGGACCTAAGCTGTAGGATCAGTATTCACCATTACAAGCTACATTTTCGAAGTTGACCCTAGATTAGGGTTACATCGCAAAATTGTAATGGCTCTGGAACCCCAGCCAGAGCGAATTTCTAATTGGATCTTTTGGATCTTGTAGTCAACCATATACCAGCTACAACTTTCATTAGTAAGCCCTAGGAATTTGAGCAAATTTTCGAGCCAGAGTTTTGCTGAACCATGAAGGTATTCAATACAGCCATATCTAGAGGCATTGACAACGAGGTCTCTTCAGATTTACTAATCAATTCAAGTGTGAATGATCGCGACGTTTGTCTGTAGAGTCGATGCCGCAGGGAGTCTGCGGTGAACCGTGCAGAGCCCGAGAGCGGCCGAATGCGACGATCGTCCGTGGATCGAGCAAGAGGCAGGCAAACCGGACGAACAACTGCTCTGTGTGCTGACATCGATCGATGGTATCGACGGAGTCGATGGAGAAGGCGAGTGGGAGTCGTGACACGCGGTCGGTGAACCGTGCCCGCTACATCAAGAAGAGCAGCACTGCGTTTGATCCATGTTGATCATGAACGACGGTCATATCCTGAAAATGGCCATGTACAAAACATCACTCATCGCGCGATTTTCGCAGAAAGTGGCAAACTTACGAGTGGACTACCCGCACTACATCTATCTGCCGTGTTGGTCTTCAAATCGTTTCGAATCACTAAGAGCAGGTCGCATATGCCTGGAGCAGTAGGTGGACTGGAGAAGGTGCGCGCCGACAAGGGTAGGAAAATGCAGGTGTAAACAACCCCATCGGAGCTTTAAGCTTGATAGGGGCTAGTTTGAACGCCTCCTTTCAGGCTTTCTGACAACATTGAAGGTTCAACAGGGATCCGGAAGAGTCCCAGATCAATATTAGACAGGCCGTAGAAATAACGAGCATTGGCTGGGTTAGACATATGCATGCGCGGAGTACTCCGGTGTTGTCCCGGTCGTGTTCAAGGCAAAGGCATGCGCGCTTAAGACAGCGTTCCTTGCACCGAGCAGAACCTTGGAAATACACAAAAGTCTTATACAACTATTTACGACTTTCCGTATATCACTGTCCACGTGCAAAGCAATTAGCTACCATCCCTCATGGCGACCCATCACGCCATCCTCTTCCTATTGCCTTCCTCCAACTCCAGACTCGCCACCACCGTAATCTCCTGCACAAGATCCTCAACAACCGGTTTCAGCTTCTTCATCCTTTCCGGCACATTCGCATCAACTACAGTACTGATGGCCTTGTCTCTGCAGTGATGAATGCAGGTGAGACTGCGCAGACGGTGGTGTGAAGCCTAGGACGGGGGTGAGAAACCCAGTGAATCCCCTCCGGTGGCTCTGAAGGGCAGACAACGTCAACCTGCTGAACCATTTCTCAGGAGTACGACCGGAAAGACGCTGAAAATGTAGTCAGCCACAACGCCTTCAGAAAACGAACGAATGTAGAACATACCTTGGCGTTACCAGCCGATATGGTAAACGACATTCTGTACAAAGTCTTCGAGGCCAACACTCCACATCAAAGCTCTGTGGTGTTTAACGATCGAGTTCGAGCGATCGACTCGATTACATGGAGCTAGGTACACACTGCGCGATGCAAGCACACGAGCAACGCAGGGGAACTCGAGCCACCCGTCCCCATCGGCGGCTGCGCTTACGGATGCAAGTACAGACTCCAATGTCTCCCCAAATACACGAAGTAGAACCGTTGTTCCATCCTCGGGTTCGACTTCGCTCACTGCGCGTCGACTTGATAAACGCCAGCAGCCTCCCAGCGTTCTCGGCAAGCGCATCACGCCCGAACTAGCTGACGAGGTGAGCTTCCTCTCTCATCAGCATCGAGATGGTGGCTAACCTAGATGTACCCTTTCAGTAATCGAGACGTCAAGTTCGAAGCGATCGGCACAGCGGCCAACTCGTAGAAATGCGCTTTCTTGGCTCCGGATGGCGAGATAGGGTATGCCGTTTGGTGTCCGGGTCTAATTTTGCTCTTTTTGATCTCAGTTCTCTTCGAACTTAACGGCAAAAACCCTTGAGAAAGCCGGTCAATCAAACCGAGCTTCCCTGGGACGGACGATTCCGTGGCTCGAAGTCCGCTGCGGGCACGCCTCGGCCAAAACGGAGCTTTCCATGGATGCAGGCGGCTATATCACTGCGATGGCTGGTGTTCATATGGCTGGTGGACTGGATGGCAAGATGGAGCACACCGTGGCGTATATCCGTGAGTCTTCTATCAGTTTCTTTCGTTTTCTCATCTTATCGTCTCTGTAGAGCAGCCTTCCAGGCTGTCACACTCACTGCAGACTCACACTGCAGAATGCCTTTGTCGAGAACGTCAACGAGGAGCTGTGCAGCCCGTCAAACAAGCGCATCGGCGCAATATCTACTGCTTTCCACTGCAGGTACTCCATGGACAAGATCTTGGAGATGACGAACATCGACAGGCACTTCTTAGGTAAGCCGGATCCTCTTTTCATGATGGAGCAGACCTCCCTGTACGTTCACCTCTCAAAAACGTCTGGATGTTACTTCTGACGCATGCCTGTCTATTTCAGTTTATGCAATCCTGCGGTGCGAGCTTCGCTGCTAGGCAAGGCAGCTCGTCTTCTAGGATAAGCAGCTAGCAGCGTGCTTTGGCTCATGGACATCACAATGGAGATCAACGTCGCCAGTTCGTTATTACTATATCCGCCCATCCGATTGCTAGCTCGATTCTGCAGGCGCTGATGTCGGTCGACGGTGCGACTGGCTGCGATTTATCCACGCCGCCGTATCGTTTCTTCAAGGCATCTGACCTTCGAACGGTGACGAACACGGCCCGATTTTACCCTCGCAAGCCAGCGGTTATTTCCGGCCACGTCTCCGCGAGGCCGAATCGCTAGAAAAGAAGGATGCGAAGGAAGCTGCGGCTACTTAGAGAGGGCAAGATCAAGCTGTTTCAGATGTCCCCTTCCGCCACATCTTCAGTACGTCACCCTTTCATTACACCTGGTACTTGTAGTGAACAATCTCTATGTACAGTCAGCCTCGGTGCTCAATCATGAGGGTTCCCGAGTCGACCTGTTGTACATAATGCTAGCCACGTACACGCTATAACTCAATTCCAAGGCACCACTGCTGGTTGATTTCTCGGATTACTGTGCGTTCATTGTGCTACTTCCCTTCGGGCTCAAACACACACCTTCATTCTGCTTTCAGAACTTGCGACTCCCATCAAGGCGCACATATGCTTGGACTGCGAGCATCTCTCTTTCCAGACGCCTGCCTGACCTGTCAATCCTACAGACGAAACCATGGAAGCCATCTTGCCCGCTATAACTGTAAATCATCAATCTCGTGTTCACTTTCCCTGATTCTGTCGAACTAAAACAATGTTCCGTCTTCCTATCAGCATCCATGCCTCTGATTATGCCGATCAAGTCTATTCTTCGTCCTGTATCAACCCGCCTGTTCTCGTTGCCTAAGCGCATCACTGACGCTGCCGGCGCCAGTTGTGTAGGTCGCCCTCCTGAAGCAACTGACGCCACACCGATCAGGACCTGGCCAGCCCGCAGGTGAGTAGTCATCTGTTGATATGTTCTACCTGTAAATCGTAACCATGTTCACTTACCGGGACTGGTCTTATCCTACGAGACCCAGATATGCATTCCATATATACACTCAAATAAAACTGTGAATCTCATGCAGAGTAGACAGAGATGCAGAGTTAGGAGAGTCAGACACATGTCCCCTGAGCAAAACAGTTGCGAAAACCAAAAAGCTAGCACTTTCGAGCAAAATCCGGAGTGGCGTGGGTTACGGGTATGCAGTGGACACATCTGCACTTACTGGGAATCGAACCAACGCCCTCTGATTATGGAGACCACAGCCCACCCCGCGTTTAGCACAGCACAGGGACCGGAACCCTTCCGCCATTTGACCATCTTTCGCTTTAGGAGGAGCTTCCTTACAGTATATAGAGTTTTAGCACGCATAGGCCACACATATACACGCATCCTGGCATTTCCGTGAAGCGGCGCCACTCTGTCCCCAGACCAGACCCACACCATGCCCCACCGTAAGAGTGCTGCCACGAAACAAAAGAATGAACAGTGTATGTCGTCCAGGCTTGTTCTTGATCAGCTTTTTAACAAATCCTAGTCCGCAGTTATTTACTAGCACCTGCGACTTTAGCTGCTCTAGAACACCTCACTGCTGCCGACATCCTGTCTCAAGGGACTGCTCACGTTCTTCAGCACCGCAACACAACGCCAGCGTATGTCCAGTACCTGCATACCTTAACATGCAGGCTCTAAGCTTTGATGGTAGTGGGACTGTTTTCTCGCTGCTGCGATCAGCCATGATAGCAGCGAATCACAGACTGGTTCGTCACTCCGTCCAGTTATCAAGCGCCTCCAGTCCGCCTTGAAGCAGGACCGCAAGAATGCCGGCTATGCTAACCACACCCAAAAACGTGGACTTGTGAGCAGGCTTTGTCGTCACCGTGTGGTACAGTAACCCAGCCCTGTAATAGATTAAGTCCCTTCTCGGCCACCGCTCTCCACCATCCATCAGTGCTCATATCAGGAAGCATGGCGACAACATCGAGGAAGCCATTCGGACCAGCGTCGCAGAGCTGGGTTTTGAACTCCTGCTTTGCGATCGCCAGTCAGATGATTACAGGCAGTTCCATGGTATAGCTGTTGTTGAGCCAGGCACTCCGCGCAGAAATATAAAGCCACCCAACCAGCAGATTCTAACAGTAACTCCAGAATCTGGCTTTTACTTTGTGAAGCCTGAACAGAGTATTGTGTTTATCTCAATTGATTCAGCCGGAGGTGTGCTGTACCGTTACATCATGTTCCCGCCGGCTGGCTGACTAGAATTCTAGCGATCACACTCGACTTGTAGTGATTCGTGGTGTTGCCCTTGACGCGCCCTTTGCTAAACCCCTCTACGACTGGCTGATGAGTGTTGTCGAGGCAGCGTGTCATGTTCGCCGTGACTGCCGTGTAGGTGAAGCTCCTACAAATTCCATGAGATATATTAACGCCCGCCCTTCAGCCATATCATCAGGGCGAAATGGTGCAGTGGGGCCTGAATATGGGTCCACGCCACCGCCATATCCTTGGATGGGCCAAGAGCTTCCGGCGAAAGCTTTCTGAGCTTGCGTTGAAGGCCCTTGATACTGATGCTATTGGAGCAACAAGTCTTTTCTGGGCTCTTGCCCGCGCATACCCTCCTGCTGAGGTTATTGACCCACTCCAGGACTATCTCGACAAGGCTGCGCTTCCGTCCATGGGCACCCTCCATGTCGCGTCAGGTAGGTGCTGTCTGTCTTAGGAATCATCAAGATTAGCTACTCATCGATTGTCCGTCATTAGGGTGTGGATTCGCCATCGAGGTCGATGATCTGATATACGACTTCAGCACTGCTCGCCGCGCCCCACCGGAAGGCCTGGCCACATACCGATACGCTTCGTAAGTGATCTTCATTAACCCTGTCGCCAGCTAATGCTCACTTTCATAGGCCCGGGCACAGAGATGGCTCGGCTACCGGCTGGGGCATCTCATGGTGCACTGGCTCTTGGGGCAACGAAAAAGGTGGTAATGCTTACGTCGACCTCAGCCTTCGAGTTGTTGTGCTGCCCGCACGTGGTACCCTACAGGCTACACGGCCGCGGTCTTATCATGCGAGCACTACTGCGATTGAGCCTGAATCCGGTACTGCAGGGTTCACAATTGTTTTCACCGACCGCATAGACAAGGCTTATCCGGAGTTCATGCATAATAACGAGATAGGAACACTGCTACCATTTTCGCCAGACCATACACAAATTTAATATATTACTGAATGCACCCTCTGGGTCAAAGATAGAAGATAGTTGAATAGTTCGGGCTGTGAAAGTGAAGATTTTATGTATAAAAACCCGTCTGTATCTATCGTGGTCGCAGCGACCCCCTCCCCGGGTGTATACCCTTCCATACATACGGACTAGTGATTACTTGGAGAACAAAAATTCCTAGGTAAACTCTGTCAGGACGAGTTGACGGATTCAAGGATGCGGCGGCCGTGCTGGTGGCGATGCATGAAGTGCAGAATCATCGCAACTGGCGAGGGGAGCGTTCTGAACCGATGAGCTTGCATACATCAGGAAATGTCCCGGCCAAGTGAGCAAATGGCCCAAGCCTTTCCAGTCCTACTTCCGCGCTGTGATCTTCCTGCGAAGCGACCGTTTGGGTCAGCACGCCCTAAACAATATACCGGATGATGTACTAGCCCGAATTTGTATTAATCCTTCAAAGGCTTCAAAAAGCAACCGACGCTCAATGGATCGTACTACTGGCGATGGCAGAGTCAGAGAGATGATGTATTAGGCGGTGATGACAGCACGTATGGGTCTGTACACGTGCACGACTAGGGAACCAGAGAGACCGGCATGATCTTGGAGGTACGATGCTCATAGTAAGAGTGAATTAAGTTCAGGTTTGATGAATCATACAGCGACGACGAAAGGACACAAGCTTACGAAAAACTATCAAAAGGCCGCTCCTGTAGTTTCATCCGATCCGTAGTAATAATGGGTCAAAGTGTATGGAGAGAACGATAGCATCCGAAGTAGCAGCAGACGACCCCGGCGGCGTACCCACACCCAGCAGATTCAACCACTGTGTCGGACTCATCCGCACATCGCCATCAGCCACATCCACATCCACATCCAAATCTGCCCCGTCCAACTCCAAATCCGGCTCCGCCTCATTCGACGAAGTCGTCGACGCGCGATCCGAAGGCTCTGGGAAGTCGAAACGCTGAAACGACTGTTGCAGCGCGTCATCGCCGTCGGTATCACCGAACGGGCTCATGTCGTTCATAGGGGAAAAGTTTAAGAGGTCGTCCTCCTTTGGTGGGGTGGGCACGCTGCCGCCGCTGACAACGCCTGAGGAGAACCACCGCGAACACTCAGCACGAGGGCTGGAGCTGCCGTGTATGGAGAATGTTGGCTCGTCTTCGGATTCGTATGGCGGAGTTGGCAGTTGGGCATCAATGGCCATATCTTGGTCTTCAATTATAGGGTCGCCGGCATTGCATTGGCATCGGCGTTCACATCCGTATTAGAAGGCGCGTCCATCGCCGTGATTTCTGCAGAAGATTCATTCTGCACAGCAGCGCGCGCCTCCTTGATCTTTTCGTAAGTTAAGTCTTGCCGCCAAGCGGTGCAGACGATTGCTGGTGGTAGAAAAGGAGGTACGCGTTGGCATTCTAAAAAGAGGAAAAGAACAGTGTCACGATTAAATCACAATTCGTACAGAAAGTAAGAACAAACGCACCACAGCATCCTCAGCCTTCGCAGGCGTCACATACGAATCATCAAAATGACACCACATCCCATTCATATGGTTCGACACATATCATGCCAACACCCAGCCCACCCATATGCTCATCCACACCACACAAATCATACACCAGCGGCTCCTCAACGTCCTTCAACCCCAACTCCTTCAAGCCTCCACATCAACCCCCTTCGCCTTCAAGTCCCTCGCCACTCTCCTCTCTCCTACGACATCGCCTAGGTCGAGACCAGTAACGGGGAAATAGATGAACACGTCGATCTTGTCGGGCAATGCACGGCTGCTGCCAAACCGCTTGAGGTGCACGACGAGCACGTCGGGTGCGCTCCAGAGATCGAACTGCTTCGTCGCCTGTGGGTGTTTCTTGCATCGAAGGCACAGATCGTTTGCGCTGAGCCTCTCCTCCTTCGTAACTCCGCCAAACAATCCTGCAGACTCAAACCGCGGTTCGAGCGCGCCGTCGACGCGGCACTCGCAGCCTCAAGCTCCGGGTGGACGAACATGTCCCACGAGTTCCGCCGTGCATGCTCCCATGTGCGATCCTCACCAAAGAAGAACACTTTCATGTTCTCGTCGAACTCGCAGTAAAACTCGTCACCATCACGGACAGCCCCGTTCGTCCCAGACTCCTCAGCGCACTGTCGTACCAATGCTGCCCGTACATCGTATACCCTGTCCGAAAGTTCTTCTGGTTCGCCAAAACATGGAGATTGAATATATCCGGTTCCGGACCCAACCGCACAGGGATCGGGAATGTCTTGGTCGATCGATGCGATAGAGGTTTTCAGCGAGCGGGCGAGCGGCCATCTACATCGTTGACACGCGACCGAGGAGCACTTGTGCGTTCAAGGGGCTCGCATAGCTGGAGCTCAACAGGCTGAAGATCGTCGGGGAGAACATGCGGAGAAGAGGGAGTGGTAATCAGCTGGTGTGGCGAATGCAGGACGGGCGCTAGAGCCTAAGTCAGGAGTGCCTCAGCGGGTACGCCGACCTGTGGATCGTCTACGGGTATAGGTGGGACGAACTGTGACACGAGGGGGGTATAGGAAGCGAGTCGTCGGTTCCGCCAACATGGATCGTAGCAACACTGATGTCAGCGGCGGACATTATGGTACGCGCAGGAGATTCCGATGCGGATACCTGGGGAGGGTCACATCTAGCGCTGAAAGCCGCCTCAACTGCGCGCTTGCGGTGTTGGGATGGGGTTTTGGACGTGTGAGAGCCTTGATCATGAAATTCATGTAGGAGTGCAGGCCGACTCATTTCATGGGGCAGAGGGGAAATCGGACCGGAGACTGCAGTACCAGATGAAACGGCCGTGGATGAAGTTGATGGTGGGACTTCTAAGGCTGGTAGCCATAGTTCTGGCTCGAGGGTGGAGGTTAGTTGTGGGGTGGATCTTGATGCGCCGGCTAAACGGGCAAGAGAGTTAGAAGTGGATGCACGGAGTATATCGGTGGAATACGCACGGGCGCAGGTGGTGTCGGCAAAGCACTTGTAGGTGATATCTCGGACCTCAACCGCGCGTCATCCAGTTCGGTGGCCCTCTGTTTGCCCTTTACGCGCGAGAGAGAGCCGAACCATGATGAAGTTGACTGGTTAGTGGCTAGCTTTACGCTAGCGACACGAGCCGAGGTGGGAAGAGAATTCGTCGTCGGTTGATGCGCCGCCGGTCGTGGTTCTCGGAGTGAGGACGGTTTGAGCTATCCGACATGGAAATGGTAGATTGGTTATCGTCTAGAAATGGATCCGAAAGCGCTGTTAGCGTTGTTCCGAGTACAAACGGTTGTGACTCACCTGTGGATTCAGCAGTGGAAGTCGAAGCAGAGGCTTGCCTGGTCAAACGACTGCCTCGAATTGTCGGATTGTCCGAACTAGAAAGTGCGCTGGCAGGTAGCTGAGAGGCTACGGATGCGAGAGGAGCTCCTTGCTCGGGCTCTGTGACGACAAAGGAGATCCTGGGTGGTGGTTGTTTGTTTACAGCTATCGGGCGCCAGACTTGTGGAATACAAGAGCGTGTTGAACGAGAGGAACGACTGCTTTGGAGAGGAAGAGGTCGATGGGAAGGGACCCTTGATGCGCATATCAAGAATGGAGGAACCGTCCCACAAGACGTGTCGTTGCTTTAGCTGTCCGTGGGTAAGCCTTTTGCAGTCATAGGGAGAGGACGCTGCGTACCTCGCGCTCATCAACCTGTTCAACCAGATGCGTCTGATTTTTGCGGCAGTGAGCCAGTGCACTGGATGTTCCCGTGCTCGTAAGGCAACAGGGAGGTGAGTGTCCTGAGCACGAGGCATAGCGGTAGCGAGACTGCAGCTCGGCGTTGTCGGAGCCTAAGTGGATGGATTGTCAGAATCGACGTTGATGCGAGGACGGTGCAAACGAAACGTACACAGAGGCTCTCTAGGCTGCGATGAACCACGATGACGAGTTCCGCTTCGTCTATGCGCCTGCCATCCCAGTCCCGCACCACCACTGATCAGCCTTTCTTCCGCTAATGACAAGATCAATCCGGGTTGAAGAAGAATGCTCAGATCTGAGCTTTAGATCTGAGCTTTGATGACAGGTAAGATGCTGATGCGCATAACTAACGCGCTCAATGTGATCGGGGTGGACATCTCTGAACATTCTCCAGATATAGGGTTTGGGCTGGAATCGCAAAGGTGTGTTAGTATGGTCCGACTATGAAGACGAATGAATGGAACGAGAGCTATAAGGGTACCGGTAAGCGCTAAGCGTCGGGGTGGGGGAGACGCGCGTGCAGCTTTGCGGTCAACAGATGTAAATACCGCGCACCTTCCCAAGCGTTTGCGCTGAAAAACGCTTAACCAAAGCCATGGAGCACAATCATTGCCGTCAATGCCAGGGACATATTCGAGTGGAGGAGGAGCAGTACGTTTGGTATGTTGTGCATAGCTTTCATCCTGTTGACAGTAACGCAGCTGCTCAAGCCTCCTGAGCTCGCAAGCACGCCTTCCCTTCACATTGCCACCAAAGTCAATGCACCAATTACCTGAGCTTGATTTTGATGGCAATGAGCAGCCGGTATATGGAGCTATCACCCCCAGTAAAGTTAGAGACGACGATGCTTCGGCTTTCGACTCAGACACAGAGTCTGATGGGACGATCACACTGAGAGCAAACGTGGCTAAGCTCCCAAATGGTATATAGCCCACCCAGTTTTTGAATGTCAGCTAATTCAATGTGCTAGGGCGAAACACGCAAAGTGCAGAGTTTCCAGGAACAAGTGTTTTTTACATCAACAAACATCAATTTCACCGCGTGTACCCCAAGCTTACACAACGGATTGTTCAGCAAGAGCATCGACAAGAATTGCTGCATCGAAAGTTGCGCTCATGCCTCCTCCAAAACAAACAGGCTCTGAAGCTTTTTCTCTCCAAAGAGGTGCAGAAAATTAGCGAGGCGATTGACGACGTCTTTGCAGAGCAGGAAGTGCAGCTCGATTGCTTCTTGAAGGATCGCAAGGAAGAGTTGGCCAGGGCCCCGGAGAGCATGTGGGATTTCCTTGAGTCTTGCCTTTCAGAGTTGGAGCATGCCGCAGGTGTGTAGGGTCAGCGGAGTTGTGTCTTTGACTGCATTGTTGTCTATCCTTGCTTTCGTGTTCAATCGGTTTGTCCTGCTCTCCATATCCTCCTAATTTGGGGGGTGCCCACTATTGTATATCGATGGTTCCTTCATTAGCCTCGGTTTCCTCTCCATATTGTATATCATATTGTATATAGACATGTACAGCGGTATCCTTCTAGTGCGTGTCTCAATTTGTTTTGAAAGATGTGGGTTTACTATGTAAGAACCTAAGGCGCACAACATATCTCTGATCTATGTTGGAGAGACAAAGAGAGGACATCGTGGTGGACGCCGACGAGAAAAGGTTTGGGCGCTTAGATCAATCGCGTGACGCTTCTTTGAGCACCCCTCTTTGAGGAGTCTCTCCGCCACTTGTATTCAACTTGGTCCAGCCAAGGACTGCGTACTCTCAGCGATGGTCTTCTCATCTTCCAGTCTTTTGAACCTCAAAGCTTCATTGCAGGTCGTCATCCTATCCTGGCCTGTGCAATCTCTCTCCGCGCACTTTAGGCAGTCCCTCCTGCCTTTTGCTGATGATCTTTGTCCTTTAGTAACCCTCATGGCTGCCATTTGAATCGATGCCTTTGGAGCTCTTATCATTTATCCATTTATCGTCGACTATTTCATTGCCTCGCCGCATGCCGATACATACCTTAGTACGTGATCAATTTGTAACGCCGTGAATTGCCATCTCACTCACCCGTCTTTACGCAGTTCTTTTCCTGTGTCCAAACCCCCAGGAGAAGATTTGTTGACGCGCACGTCGTCAACCCGGGTCAGGGAACTCGAAGATGTTTTGAGAAGGTTTGAACATCGACCATGAAGCGTATTCGCGCTGGTGAATCTCGTTTATGAATTATCTACTGCTTTTCATACCTAACGCGACATTCGTAGTGCGCATATACTGTACTCCTGGTACATCCCAAGATATCTGCTGCCTAAGCGCCATGGTGTTTTGACCTTAAACTGCGATCCTGTCCGTTAACAGGATATTCGTATGAGTACGTTCGTCCTTTCATGTCATCCATATCTTGTGCTTTTCTCATTCGCGTTTATCCCTCTAGTGCTGTGTTAATGTTGATTCCAAACAATATTGGATTAGTGTGATCATGATGACGAACCCATGTTCCGAGTACGTGTGAGCCAATCAAATCGAGCGTTTGTTCCCTCGATTTGATCGTACTAAACGCACGCACTTTCTTGCTGATGCGTCGTTTCGCCTAGAATATCTGCCTATTTGCGCCATACATCTTCGTTCAATCTTCCGCGCAAACCCTCGTCGTTGCTCCGATCCTTCGACGTAAATTGATCAACGGGGTCGTTGTCGTATTCGCGCTGGCAAAGACGTTCTTTCGTACTTTCGCTGTGTGTGATTTCCGCCTCCATTGTGTATGTTGTTTGATTTCACTCTCGTTGTTCCATTGTCGCTTACCATCCGCGCCAACCTTGGTCATTCATCATCAGATTCAAGCATTTAGAGAGAGACTGTGCGCAAGCGTGGACACGTCTCTTGCTGCAGGTACGATTGATCCACATTTCTCAAAAGCCACGGTTTTCTCATCCGTTATGCGCCAGTTCTCCTAGTGTACATGGATATCTTCTTGCAGTACAATCGAAAGCCTACACCCCGATCTCCTGAACATTCACATCGCTCGACGTTTTGCAGTGTGCAGTGTACGCGCTTGTTCACGAGATCCAAGGCTTGCTTGTTTACTGAGGACATCGCGAGCTGCGCCCCTACGCACGGAAATGGCACAGCCCGGTACGTCTATCATTTGCCTTAGCGTATCTGGATTGTTACTCAACTCACCTAACCAGCCGCTACGTCGTGATCATCACCTCGAGTGCATCTCTTGTACCGTTGTGCTGCGGGATCAAGAAGCCACGAGATCAGCTCTGAACTCAGGGAGCAGGGGTTGGATTCGATCATTCGAGGCGGTGCAGCTTGAGACTAAGTATCAGACTGAGCGTGGGCTATGGGCATTTTCAGTAGGGTTTCGATGGACTCTTGGCTCATACTTTCTACTGCTGATGACGCACTTTCGTCGCACTCGCTGTTTTGTGTTTCGACAGATGACTAGTACTCGTACAATGATGATTACACCAATGGACTGAAAGTGATAATTTCGCTGCGCGATAGTATAGTAGTAGTGTATACACCGCTTGCAGCCGCCTTCTCAGCCAATACATGTTCTCGGTAGCGATGAAGTCCCGGTAAGGAAGTCCGTACGTCTGATCATTTCAGCAGAACTCGTCCAGCGTCACGACAATCATGGTCTAGTATAGTAGGATATCGTAGGATGTAGTATATGCTATGAGACGACACACCGGCACGGAAAGCGAGTCAGACTAAGAGCTTGCGTTCATGATGGCGCAAAGAACGGGATTGCAGTCGTCCGAGGTCGGATTGTGGACGGACGGCGCAAGCATGGGCCAGTGACCGCGTACGTCATCCTCGGGTTTTCACAGTGGGACAGTCAACAAGTCGACCGCCCGACGAAGCATTAGCAGTCCTGCATTCCTGCTTGCGTGTAGTGGCGGCGCTTCCTTCACTACCATTGCAACGGTCGTTATCGCTCCATCCCAAGGCGCTCTACCACACCCGTTCATCAGTAGACGCAACATCGGCGTCCGTCTCAGGCCCTGCCCCGTCCCTCGGACCTCAACCCACTGCCAAACCGCTGAGGTCGCCGGCACCCAAGCAGCCGCGAATCCCAGGACAACGGGGATATGGCCGTGAAAATGCTTGAAGGGCAAGCGGGGAGGACAGGAAAGACGTGCGACCCTCGGGAAGGTGTCCAGAGTCGCATTGGAGGTGCATTTTCGACGATTTTCGCAACGCAGACGATGTTCTCTTGAGGCAGAAGGAAGGGCTTGCGTGGTGTAAGGTGTTGTTGACACCATCTGAAGATACACGGCGATGCTAGAAGGAATGTATAAGCCGACAGGTGCAGTGCGCGAGACTCCCTAGGAACGCACACCTAAACGATGGAATCCACGATATTGGGCAATTGTCGCGCCGGAACGCCGTATATGCGACCAAGCGCAGGTCGGCTGAGGACAGACGAGTCTCACCTGTACGCTCGTGAAAACCGAGGGCGCTCAGTCTACAGATCCGGGATGCAGGGTAACCAGCTGACATGGCCACCCGGAACAGTCATCCGACTCTTAGGCACGCCTCAATCCTCGATTGATTGTTGCCGCAGCGCGCTGGTCCCTGGACATGGCAGCTTAACGAAACCGCGCAGGTTGTGGGTCGTGTTCTGCTTCTACCCCACGTTCAGGGCTCCATTCGCTCGTGCACCTTCTATACACCGAGTCACCCAGCGGCGTCGTTTTCGATTTCGGTCGAGAACACCTCGCGCGGGCTTATCATCCATCCGCAAATAAAACGCCGAACCCACACAGTAAGGTGTGTATGCACCTATTGCTTGCTCTCTGCTGCGCACTACGCAGCGCCGCAACGATTGCGATTACGATCACAATTGCGAGTGCGAATGATCGATTAAGTATGCGCATGCTCTGCGAGAGGACAGCGACGCCGTCGTCGAGACGTGCTCATGATAAGTGCGAGCCAACGGGCGGGGTGGGAGAGTCGGCTGTCGCGCACGTACGCAGGTATGTATGTGAACCGGGAAGGTTGAATGTCGATGTTTGCATCGTGCGTCGGGGATCGAGCCTAAAATGCAGTCCGGCTTGAGGGGCAAGTGGTTCAGAGGCGAGCAGTTCAGGCTCAGTTTCAGAGACCCAAACCGAGTGACAGTCGATAAGACCCGTAAGGCTTCGCCTCGCTGTGTTGACTATACTCTCTGCAAGTTTTGGCGTTTTTGGCGACGAATCGGGGTAAGGAGCGGCTGCTCTAAGCGGATGTGGGGGTGGGAAGTGCTACAGCGATGTGACCGGTGACAAGCTCACAGAACTCTGGAGCTGGGAAAGGACTGGAAAGAAACACTAGGAACTGTTATGGGCAACAAACCACACAACACCCCAAATGTATCCGGAACGAGTGAAGATCCTTCGCAACGGGTGGAGGATACGACCTTCGAGATAGGATAGTAGAGTTGTATGTGTAGATAGGGATGTGATGAATATTCGTCCTTTCGTTCTAAGCTCGAATCGAGTTCGTTCTGTGAGGAAAGGGTGCGAGTTAGTCCAAAGGTCTCAGAAAGACTACGCTTCGGACTGTAGATCGAACTGTACTCGGACAGTTATGCGCTAATGCTCTTCTTGAGCTCGTTACTATGTTTCGTTCGCGACGAGGAAGACTCCACTGAGTGACTTCGACTCGATATTCGGTTTCCTAAACCTCGAACGCTGTATGTGTCTTTCGTACCAACGTTGAACGGACTACAATAAGTCCTTCGTTCGCTCCTTCGTGGAACGTCGATCCAATGATCTTGCTATACCCGCACAATAGGGGTCTTCAGGGGCTCCGCCTGGTAACGGTTTCGACTTGCTTTACTTGAACGAGAACGAAATCGACTTAGATGCGGAACGATCTGTAAGTAGCGGCGACCTCTTGTCGTCCTACTTAGCTGTCTTCAGAAATAAGCTCGACTTCGGCTTGAGCTCCGAACTATGGGGTGCTGAAAGCTTGTATTGGTGAGCTACTCGAGCTCTTTATATACTACAGGCCAAGTAGATATTGGAAATATAAGTTTGAAATGAAAATAGTCACTATGAGTCAGAACGATGAATCTGTGCCTAGGATATGTCATCTTTCTGCGCAGGACTAATGGTTTTATGGTCTAGAAGGTCTAATTCTCGGCGATTTGAGTCACCGAAGTGTTTTGGATTTTCGTTCTCGACGAAGTCGAACGACTTTCTCGTATTTCGGAACGGAGGTATCGGTGGTCCGACGTCGGGACATTGAGTAGTGATTTGAAATGATGAAATGAGTCGAGTCATTGAGATATTTGGAAATGATTTCGTTTTGTTTATGTCCGAGAGCGAAAATGCTAGATTGATCGGAACGAAATTCGATCGTTAGGCACCGGGAACGGGTGCTCTTTGTGATCGAGGGACTGTACTCGTTATTTTGGTATTGCGCCCACATTGTACCGTATATTGCGATCGGCGGGTCGTGGCGCGCATTTCCTCTTTAGGAAGTCCCGCTCTGGGCAGCCCCTATGTGCATCTTTAACATCTTTTGTTCTCGTTTACATTTCGTTCCCTATAACCCCGTCTTTCTTTCCGGCGATGTTTTTGTTTTGGATGACTTTCCTCTTGCTCTCCTGCTTCTTTTCGCTCTGCGAGTGATTTCGTTCGGGTGATATAGCCATGGTTTACTGGTACAGGGGCTTGTGCATTGGTGAGTGTACACTTTAGCCGTCGTTTGATATCCCTCATGGATCCTGAGGGTCTGTGTGTGTGTCGTTTCGCAATTTTACAGGCGTAGAGGCACGGGGTCCCTGTCACCGGCATCTTCGTGCAGGCGCAATCAGTAGGGGGAGTACGCGTACGATGAGTTGCGTGGGGAGTACTGGCAAAAAGGCATCCTGAGGGTAGGGAGTACGGGCAAGAAGGCATCTTGAGGGTAGACGGGGTATGTCAGATTGGTGTGGAGTGTGCTGAGGCTTGAAATGCGTCGCACACGTCGAGGTGGGAGGTAGATGGGGTAGTGTGATATGGGAGGTCAAGAGTGGTGGACGAGAGGTCTAGGAGCGCGGACGTCGCGACCTCACAGAAACGACGCGCGAGGGTACGCGTGTGGGTCGACAACCGACGACTGCGCCGTCACAAGACAACGACAAGACTAGGAACATGCCTCGTGGTGACAAATGTCCTCCGTGCATATGTGAGATGCTCTTGTCCCATGACGCTCCTTCCATTCCTTCGTCCAGCCAACTCCACACAACCGCAAGCAACAGCCCTCATCCTGCAACCAAATCCCAAAGAACACAGCCCCAACCTTCATCCAAAGCCCGCGAAGAATAAGTAAAACGCGAAAGCGAAGTCGTGTATGGTCGCTCCACTGATGCATGCGCCGCTGGACCTTCGTGGTCTACGATGAGTGGTAGGCTGGTGTCGGAGGCGTGTCGCGTGGTCATTGGCATGAAAGAAACAATAGGTGGACAGTTTCGGCCAGGGCGCAGCAGGCTGAGGGCTAAACATGATCCAAGGACTCGGGTGCCTGGAGGAGATGCATTGTTTGTGATAGATACTCGATACTGTGCTGGCCAGGATGGCTTGAGGCAAAGAGAACGGAATTGGAGTGAGAAATGGACGCACTTGTAGATAAGGAACACCTTCCCACCCTTGTTGTCCATCTTTTGTGTCCATCTTTTGTGTCTGGGGGTCAAGTCAGACGTGCACAACCATCTCGTTAGAGAGTGAACTTACAAACAGACAGATGCCACGATGAATAATAACAGCAAAATTTGAGAGGTCGGCCGTCGTGTCAGGCAGGGGATCGCAAGCATCGCTCTCGATGTGCGTATCGTTCGAGGTAGGATAGATAGGAAGGTCGCCTAAGACATTGGTAGGGCTAAACGCGCGACATTTAAGCTGAGCACCAGCTGAAGGTGCTCATGTGCTCACCTTACTATCGGCATGTAGTCCACGCCAAGGACTGTGACGTTCTGAGCCGGAATGACAACACGGAAAGAATCCAAGATAGACTACTCACCACATCAACTCGAGCGCAAGAACATATATAGGCATCTGGCGCGAAACCCACCAATTGCTCGTTGGCAGCTTAACAGCCTTTTCAGTCAAGGAAGATCCAGTGTACAAGGTGCTAATTGTCGGGAGGCGGGGGTGTCACTTTCAGTCACACCTTGAGTCACACCAATATTTTCGCCTCACGAATGTAAACTTCGGATGGCGCGCTAAGCAAAATCATCCATGTAGAGGGTATTCTAGCACTTTTCTTTGAAATATACCGATTTTTAAACATATGTATGTGCGCTGGGGATTTTTCCTCTGGTCATATTTTCCTGAGTCGAGATGGGCTGTTTGCATATATTGCCCTTGAGCTTCATTGGCTTCTCCCCACTCCGGATCCCGGAGTCGCGATCCCGATGAACTTCGCATTCATAGAAAACTGGTCCACCATTCATCTGCTCGGGTTATTGCCGCGGTCGCATCTATCGAGATTCCGCCTGGCACCTGGTCTCAGCTCCTTCCCTTCCTTCACCAGACATGTGTTTCGAATTCGAATCAGGTCGCCCACCGTGGAGTTGGATCGTGCATTCTGTTTACTGTCCTCGAAAATATTGTAGAGGGCTTCCATGAACATCTCCAAAGCGTCTTCAAGTTGTTCGAGAGCCTGCTCCAGGACTTCGAGAGCCTCGAAGTCCGTGTTACGACTGTTAGGTAAAGTAACATCCTGATAAATACGTCAGTAGTCTTACCTTTCGCCAGGTCTCTGAGTCTGATTGCCCAATACCTGGACGCGGACGACAAGACTGAACTCGTATGTCACATCTCATACATAACCTTACAAGGTTTTGATTTTTGATTCCAGCCACTGATGCAAGTCATTGGCCAGACCGTTGAAGCAGGGGATGAGGCCGGGCTTGTCAGCTGTTTGAATCTTGAGACTCTGCTTATCCTTGTGCGTTCATCGTACCAGTCTTGGATGACCTTGAAGACTAATTTTTGGATTTCAGAAAATTACTATTCTCGCGAAGTTCATCCCTTGGCTGGCAGAATTCCTTCTTTGATGCGGCGGCAACCGCGCCTTCGACGGCGACCTCCGCGTCCTTGCCCTCAACGCCCTCAACTGGACTGTGCAATAGTAAGTGTTTCTCGTCCCATATCTGCCTTTACTGTTGCCGTGATATGTTGACTGACCTCTATCACAGCAAACAGTCGAAAGTTCAAAGCCACAACCTCGCCCCTGCCATTCTTGAGGGTCTCATGCCCATCGCTTCAGAAGAGGAGCCAGAGGCCATCGATGATGACGCGCGGTCTCGGGTATGCGCTCCTCAAATATTAGAACATCGTATCAAGTTCCTGATCAAGTTTACAAGTCTGCGCTCAGTCTGCGCTCCGTATCATCGATGGACCTGCGACATCGCTTCCACCGCCCAAGTCTTCCCTGCGCTCTGAATGCTCATTCAGAAAGCTTTCTCTTCTGCGATCCCACGCATCGTCGTGCTGCTATGCTCGCGTTGAATGTTTCCGTGGAGGGCTGTAGCGAGTATATGGCTCCTCTCATGTCCGAAGTTTGGCCAGTCATCGAGGCTGTGTTTGGTGATAGCAATGCAAGAGTTCGCAGGGCTACATGTGTCGCCGTTAGTTGCCTCTGTGAATGGTTAGAGGATGAGTGCGTTGCTGAGCATACCGTTTTGGTTCCCGTAAGTTCTCAGTTTGTGTGTTTCGATCTTCTAATATGGCCTGACTTCAAATCAGGCCATCACGAACCTCATCAATGACCCCGAGGCTCAACCATCTGCGTGCACGGCCTTGGATGCGCTGTTGGAGATCCTTCACGATGTGATCGAGCAAATCTTCCTCTCGTCATGGAGCGCCTTGCAGGCCTCGATACCGCTCCATCCCTGTCAAGTCCGTCATTACTGGTGCCATCGGCAGCGCCGTTCACGCGTCCAAAGAGCGGTTCCTCCTTTACTTTGAACCGATCATGTCCCGGCCTCAGCACTTCCTTGTGATTACTGGTGAGGGCGAAGAGGTTGAGTTGCGCGGCATTACGATGGATGCGACCAGCACCTTCGCCGAGGCCATTTGCAAGGATGTGTTCCGGCCATTCTTCCCTGAAATGATGAAGCAGGCGTTCCAAGGGCGCTGAGATGGGCAGTGCCCGCCTCCGCGAGTGCAGCTTCCTCTTCTTTGGCGTTATGGACTGTGTGTTTGGAGAGGAGTTTGCGGCATACCTTCCCAGCGTTGTGCCGCCTTCGATTGCCAGCTGCAAGCAGGTCGAGCAAGGTGACGAGAATCTCAGCAGTGAGTCTGGCAGGACTGCTTTCTGGTCTTATGCTAACGTGCGTTTTCTAGTCTTCGGCTCCGAGGGCTCTGCTGTTTGTGCGTCGGGCTCCTCCCCTGCCAATGCCATTGCCATCATGGACGAGGTTGATGCGCATGGCAACGCCTCTATTGAACTAGAGGATGTGGATGTTGGCCAGATGGTTGATGTCAACAACGCCATTGCTATCGAGAAAGAGATCGCTACCGATACTATTGGCACCCTCTTTGCATCTACTCGCAACCACTTCTTACCACACGTTGAGCAATGCACCGTCGAGTTGATCGACCTCCTGGACCACTAGTATCAAGGTATTCGCAAGAGCGTCACTGATTCTCTCCTTGAGATCGTGCGGACATTCTACAATCTCAGTAATCATCAAGAGTGACGACCCGGCGCTGTTGTCGTGAGTCCCTTGTATACTTATTGTGCTTCGTCTGATTGATTTTCTTGTGAAGCATGTTCCGGTAGACACACAAGTGAAGACAGTCATCAGCCATGCCATCCAGCCTTTGCTGGACATGTATGAGAGCGAAGATGACAAGTACGTGTTTGTTTCTATATATACTCTCTTTTGGGATGAGAATTTTCCTCAGCTCACTTCGACGCTATGCGAATGAGACGACTTTTAGTATTTTCTGAATTTGCTTTTGAAATATCTGAAACCTTGTTCTGACTCGGTTTTTCAAGTCTGTTGCATCCGCTGTTTGTGTCGGTTTGGCTGAGACACTCAGTCCTGCGTTTGTCGAAGGACGTGAGTCTCCGTTCCCCAGCCCATGCATGATCTCTTGCTGAAACTATTCCAGATCTCGACACTGTCTGCAATATCGCTATTCAGATACTTGAGCAAAAGGCGTTCTGCCAGCAATATCCTGACCAAGATGGGGCAGAGGAGGCACCCGAGGACCAAGCGGAGTACGACTCTGTTCTGATTTCCTCTGCTGGTTACTTGGTCGCCGCTTTGGTGAATGCTCTTGGCACGGACATTGCTCAAGCATTCGAGAAGTTCTTCCTCTTGATCGCCAAGTACTACGTGAGTGATCTCCAGGATTTTGCCGATAAGCCTGTATATTGACTTGCCTTTCCATTGCAGAAAAAGAGCAGATCGCTCGCAGACCGTTCATCGTCTATTGGCACTCTTGCCGAGACTATTTCAGGCATGAAGGGATCTATCACGCCGTACACTGAGCCTCTGCTGGAACTTTTCTTTCGAGCTCTCAGCGACATCTGAGGCCGAAGTTCTCAGTAATGCTGCGTTTGCCGCTGGCCTCCTTATCGAGAGCTCCGACATCGATCTCTCGCAGCAACACCTGCACCTTCTTGGAGCGCTTCGGCCTCTGTTCGTTCTCGCTCCTGATGCTCCTGCCGGCAAACTCAATGCGCGGGATAACGCAGCGGGGGCTATTGGACGCACGATCATCCGGAACACTGCGGCCATCCCACTCGGCCAAGTCCTGCCTGTCTTCATCGACGCTCTCCCTCTGAAAAACGATTACCTGGAGAACCGCCCTGTGTTTCGGCGATGAAGATGGGTTAGTTACTGAGTACTGAGAACCGAAACAATGATACAGGAAGGGAGCACGAGGAGACTAATGAGTCAGGGGAGCATTGAATATTGAATATTGAATGTCAACACGATCGCACAAGTGACTTGAAAGGAAGCGTCTGGCCAACGGCGAAGGGTCTAGGGTTACATGATGAACCAAAAGTTTAAGAGTGGAACCGCTGACGCGCCATCCAAGCTTAGAGAGCCTTTCATGCGCCCGCAAGTACAGGAGATCTGCGATTCGGTAAGCAGATGGGGCTCCGATAATTGACCGGTTATATATTGACCCCGCAGTTGGGATTGGTGGCGGTGAGTCTCGGAGCTCTCGATCAGGGCCCACAGGGGAGTCCGGTGCTGCGGCTTTGCTACCCGGACCACCACGGACCGGGGTATCACCTCTCCATTTTCCACCCAACTTGAAGTCCATTGCTTCAGCCTGCCACTCTCCTATTTCTCTTTCACTCTCACTTTCCTATTTAATACTCTGCCGGACGTCCTCTCACAGTTCTCCTCTTCTCCTGAACTCGCCTCAGTCATGCAATTTCACTTTTCTGGCGCACAACAGGGCCCAAGTCTGCCTTGCGCTTTGAAGAGGTGCGATTTCTCATATTTACATCCAGGTTCAAATATCTGATATCTAACTCTGAACTTGAAATCTAGCCCTACTCGCAAGCATCGCTGGTGTCGCTCTTTAAGTCACATATGCCGCGTACTTGGCCCACTTCGACGCGAATCCGCTTTCTGCATCTGCCTGTCGCCAATGAACTCTACTCTCCTTTTCCTCGCGGCCCATCGTCGCGGTCATCGTGATCATCAAATCTCTAGCCAACTCCTCGACCAGTGTTTCGTCAGTACAGGCGTGCACGGGAGCGAGCCAACGCTCAGAGATGTCGTCAGCAGTATCTTGGGGTGTCCTCCCCGTCGGGTCGGTGTTAGTGCATCAGGAATAGCTCGAGCAATTCGTGACAGTAAAAAATGCCACTTTGCTCGTCACAAAGCACATCAGGTTGAAGACGGTCACATCCCAGAGCTCAACAGAGCCTTCGTATGCGGATGAGGGTTTTTGCAGTATGTTTCTCATTCATTCTTTGAGCTTGGTGACAAGACGATTAGACGGTATATGGATCTACTCCACCAACCTCTTCCGCTGATCCATTTCAGCAGACACATCCACCAGCGCGACCCCGTCGATTTTAAACGACACACTGTCTCTATAAGCAGCCAACTTTGTCTCACGACGATTCACGCGCAGAGGCTGAAACCGAGGACGATGGTGCCGGCAACGCCGATGCCAGCCTGGAGCATCTCCCTCGGCGCCATCGAAGTATGGCCCAACATTATGCTCCGTTTCTCCGCCACCTGGACGAATCCCATATTGATGATCAATCTTATCACAACTTGGTCAAAGCTGATGGGCGGCTGGTGGGGAGCTCGAGGGACGCGTTGAATGCGAGTAGATATCTTCCTTATATTATTTCCTCGTCGTCTTTTCGTTCCCTCCCTACCCCGGATATCTTACTGACGAACTTTCTCGCACTAATAACACAGTCAGGCGATAGCGGACATCCTCGACCTCGACCACGAACCTATGACCGTCCACGGCATAACCTTTACCGCCAAAGTCTCTTTCCGCGACGCTTGCTTCACCATAGCCCCCCGCTACGCCTTCGAGTGTCTTATCCCTCGGTCATCTCCGTCAAGATGCATTGCTCCATTCCAGGCCAGGAGGCAAATGCGAGGATTATGTGCGAGACCGATCACGCATAAGGAAGCGATGGGACTTAGGAAGTTGGCGCGGGTGCACGTGGGAGTGACGGTGGACATGAATACGGAGCATGGATCCGACTTGTTGCAGTTATTGGCGGCAGCTTCGATTCGGCCTTTGGCGCTTTCGTCTCCTGGCAAGCCGGTCACATATGCGTAGTCTGAAATGAACCGCTTTTCTCATTGTTCTCGTCGCAATGACTTGCAGGCGTCTCGGTATGCCTTTTCCTTTGCCCTTTGCGCGCCTCCTATCGCTCATCGAAAGATAATGGCCTACATCACGCAACCCATCGCAGAGCGCAAAGCAAGCGTTGTTCAGTTCATCGACAGCGTGACACACGATTGTCCCAAGGCCGCGCCCCGCTTGACGATTCGCGAGACGTTTGAGAGCACGGGGACAACTGTATGGCCACAGCCATGCTGGAAGTACGTCGGTCGCCATAGGAAATTATTGTAATCCAAATGTACTATATACAAAGCAACAATAAAATAAAGCAATTCAGTCTGTAGTATATACAAGCAAAGCAGTAACAAAATAGGTCGATGACGTGTCCATCTTAAGAATTCGCAAAATCCGAGAGGAAGCTGTTGAATGCAAGATAAGCTCATGACATCAGGTTCAAAGCTAGCGGCGTATCCCAGACTCACCACTTGTTACGCGGTCTGACCGTCAGCAAAGATATCTCCAAAGGTAGAGCTCCGAGCATGCCCATGTCTACGCTGACGGGAAGCTCTGAAGCGATGGAACATGCACAAGTCGAGCTCGTCAAGATTCATATCAAAGTCAAGTTTTTGGTCACTGGTAATGAATGCCAGGATGCTTGTAGATAGGGTATCGGCGGTGCACGTCCCTGCTACCAGGGCCACAAATTTACCGCGATAGTATAAGTGAATGGAAAGCTTGACTGGCGCGTATCGATTGGTGTCTTGGAGATGCGTGACAGGATACTGGCTATGGATACATGAGTTAGTGTTCTGCGTTGACAATAGACCACTGCCAGGTGAAAACGTACACCGCAAGGTCCTCCTCGTCGCTGACGACATCCCACTCAGTAAGATCAATGTCGTGATCACTTGCGCTGAGAGCATGGTCTGAGACGCGGGGTATCACGGCGTTGCATAATGAGAAACACTTACTGTGTGACGTTCTGGTTTTGCGAAGTCGCGTCGGGGGTATAGCTAGCTGTATAGGGTCAATATTATAGGACTTTTCAGCATAAATGATAACAAGAAGCGCACCGGTAATGCCTTTGACCCGACGTTGAAAATGACAAGGAGGAGGACCAAGGGAGTACATTTCGTATATAGATTTCGAACAAGGTGTTGACGGAAGCGAAGAGGTGGTGATGCCTGGGAAAGAAATGCAACCAGCGTACCCGTGACTGTGTCGGCGTCTGTGAGTCCAGAACAGAGAGACGGCGCTTTGACGGCGCTTTGGGCGCTCCCGCCAAGTTCCTTTTCCTCTCATTTCAATCTCAATTCGTTTTATGCTACGGCTGGACTCGTAAACAAAAACTCAAGGTCGACATGTTTCTTGTACAGCACGATAAACCGATTAACCGATCTTTTTGAACAGTCAACTCTAGGCCCATTTGCAGCCAGCGCAACGAGATAATGCAAACCCAATCTCCATGAGAGAACAGGCTCCCGACGTGGTCTTGTGAGCTAATGCCATACCGAGGCCAGCTGCGGAATTGGTCGGCACCTGTCAATAGGCTGACGTTAGCCACTATGAACGAAGACTAAGACCCACCCTAGTATCTCGCCCTCCTTCATCCGATGATCGAGGCACTGCCGCGCACTCAACGACCTTTCGCGAGTTTAAGACTTGAAGACCTTCCAAACAAGTGGCCCGCGAGATTGCTACATACGCTTGTCCTAGTCACATGAATAATATGCGCTGATTGAATAGCTTGGCCTGACCTTTCTCGAAAGACCTTACCAAGATCAACTTTGACCCGCTCCAGCGTTCGTCCTTGTGACTTGTGGATACTCATGAACCACGAAGGGATCACCGGTAACTGTATTGAAGGTCGAAGTCTACGTCAACGTTCAAAAAGAGCAGACAATCGCGTTGAACGCACTTGAGTTCTGCTCACTTGGATCTCGCCGTTAGGTAACTCAACCTTCCACAGCTCAGGCACTACTAGGATCAGGCGCGTCATCCCCTGGGTCGGTGGTCGACTCCTTGCCCTCGCCGTTAGCATCAGCGTAGATACCAGAAATAAATGAGGGCCAACGCTTACCTCCTGATCGCCCTCAGTGCCATACTTAGTCGGATCGGCAAACCGGAGAATGCGGCCCATGCTGCCATTCACCAGCATGTCGTCCAAGTTCTTGATAAGCATAACCTGCGCATCTGTGCGGAGGTCGAGGAGTGCGGGTCCAAGCTCGCTAGCATCTTCGCCTTCTGTTGAGCGTCTTGCGGCGAGCCGCCGTCAACTGCCTTGAATAAATGACTCTCAGCCTGGAGCTGAGCCATCCGTATGGCGTTAAAGCGATCAACATCATTGCGACGCGGAAATCTGCGAGCTTATGCATCAATGCATCACTGTTCCAAAAAAACACCACGCACAGTTCAGTGGGCAAGATGCCGTCATGGTACACGATAGCGCGCGACAAAGTCTTGAGCCTGTCGATAGACTTGGCTGATAGATGTCCGAAGCGCATCTCATTCAGCATGTCGACGAATTCTGTCATTAGGCAAAGATATTCATTGGTATTCAACTACAGCCATGGCGTGGAAAGTACCTTGATCTCTCTGGCGGAATACTTTGGTCAAATTGAATGTGCGCTCGAAGGTTGCTTTCCACAGTTTCGCTTCGAAGGCAAACTTCACCTGCCTAGTACCTTGGGTGACGGGTGGTAGTTGGAAGAAATCGCCTGTTACAACCAACTGAAGATGGATGATCAGCTTTGGTGATCTTGCGGAGTCATGTAGTTGTGAACACGCCTTGATACCACCGAAAGGTTCTTCTTTACCCCTGAGGATCGAGCCTACTTCAGCCAGTTTGTCGAAGAGGTCCCCATCCACCATAGAAACTGTCAGTCGCATATTAACGACAAGTAGCATCGATGAAGTGATTAGCGCCGTACCTTCATCAATTATAAGAACCTTAGTCCGTAGCCAACGTGAGACAGCGTTGTCGTTCTTACGAATTTTCTCAGCTAGGTCCTTCGAGCTACCTTGGCCGAGTCCAACGCCCGCAAAGCTGTGGATAGTAACGCCCCGTATGTTACATGCCGCGATGCCTAGCATTACTCTAGGATTCATATTCGGTATCAAGGGAAATGGCAAGCGAACCTGTTGAAGCCGTAATTGCGATAGCCTCCGGAGACTGGGCATGTTGCTTGCGAAGAGTCTTGATGATCTCCCGAAGGAGTAAGGATTTACCAGTTCCTATTCAGCGTTAGCTAGAACATCAAGAATTGAATGCGCGCATGTATCCATTTACCCACCAGCACTACCAGTGTAGAACACGTTGCGGCCCTCCTCTACGAGCTTGAGTATTTGTGCTTGCTCCTGGCTAAGGAACACGGGCGCCGCTTTTTCAGACCTGCAGACTGATTTGCTAGTGGTTGAAGCGACAGGGCGAGAAGTATTCGACGTAGGACCTTCCACTATGGAGGCACTCAGGCCATCGCTTGAGGTATTCCTGCTGGATGGACGCAGCCTTGGCTGCTGCGCGACGCCGCCTTGCGACGATGCTGGTATTGACCGCTTGTTTAGATTAGAAGACAGTACCATGAGCTTCCGAGTCGTCGGGACATCCTTTCCACTGAGCGCATCCGTGATGGCTTGTAACCTACTATCACTGCGTCCTTGGGATGGGCACAGCCTTGGCTGCTTCGCTACGCCGCCTTGTGACGATGCTGGGATTGGCCGCTTGTTTACATTATAAGACGGTACCATGGGCTTCCGAGTCGTCGGGATATCCTTTCCACTGAGCGCATCCGTGATGGCTTGTAGCCTACTATGCCTGCGTCCTTGGGGTGACTGGGATGGCCGCGAGGCCTGTGGCGAGGACTGGCTCCATGGGACGTCTTCCGAAACCTGGGAACTAGACATTGACCAGTCTGTCTCGAGCGCTGTGCGTTCAGATTGCGACTTTCTCGACATAATGAGTAGTGGAAAAAAGGTCTTGAAAAAAGTCAGCGCAGAAATGAGACAACTAGAACCCGATAAAATATGTCACGTATGGACGCCTCTTGGCTTCTTACCTCTATCACCTAATTTAGCGCCCACCCTCGCAACATTCCACCCTCTCAAGCAGCTCCTCCCCCCCTCGCCCATGGGGCTCCCCAGGCCCAGCCAATTAACGGATCACAATGCATCGAGCCCTGGGTGCAGCTCCCACCTCGAACCCCACCGCCCCGACCCCCGAGTGCCTATGGATCAGAGTTTGGAGACCCCGCATCGGTCCCAAACCTCGATGAGTTCTACGTGCCATTAACTGGCCATGCCGACGCGACGCCGACTAGGAAACGAGCCAGAGTTGAGTCGAGCGCTGCCCCTCTGTCCCTCAACCCACCCAACGTCTCTGCAGCGATCCGGCAAGGAGGCGGTACCAAACATATATCGTGCGCAGAATGGCGCCGAATCTGCGTACAAGTTTTGGAAGATATCGTTGAAGGCGCTAGGAAAATGCTGGGATGGTCTGATGAAGCAGAGGCCATGCATGAGATTCTCAACGTAGCGAAAGTAATGAAGACGGCCCTAAGCGAGCTCGATGGCTCAGTGTCAGTCGACGACGACATTTTCATGTCCCAACCTGCTATGCCCAGCCCCCCTCACGGTAGCTCTCTTGACGCCTTCAAGCTGGAGGTCAAAGATCTGTTCCGCAATCTGGAGGCCAACATCTCCGCCAGGATCTCAAACGTGGAGAGACGCCTGTCATCTGGCTCAGCATCTTCCCAGCCTACCCCGCCTGCTCATAATGGCTCTAACACACGGCAGCAACCTTCCGCCCCAACAATGTACGCTGCGGCAGCGAAAGTCGGCCCCCCTGGACAGCCCAAACCAGCTCAACAGTCAAAGGCCACATCAACTCCGCCTGCTGCCAAACCTAACACCAAGTTCATTGTTCGCTTCCAAGGACGCCTACCCCCCGAGGTCGACCGCAAATCCTCTCAGTTCCTGTTCCACCACCTCAATCAAGTCTTTAATAATAACGCCGCTGCCCGTAACGATGGCCTGGAGATACTGGGCACCGAATGGAATCGCAGCGGCAATATAGTACTAACCTTCCCATCCCATGTTAATCCCTCCGTTGTTTATAATCATACTGACTTGATTCATTCAATAGTTGACCACAACCTTAATGATGTTATAATATCCCACGACACTAAATGGTCCAAGGCGGTCTGTTCGAGAGTCCCCTCGATGGGATTTGACGGCCACTATTGGGACTCCAAAGCCCTCGGCGTGCTGCTTCGACGCAACCCCGTCATCAAGAACCTCAAGATAACACAAGAGCCCCGTTTTGTATCCAACCCTGCGGATGGACTACCCCCGGTCGCGCCTGTGGTGTTCGCCTTTGAAGACCCAGATGGATCAAAACTCAAGGAGCTGCTTAAAACCCCGATTTTCATGGACGGCCGCCACACCCCAGTACGCCCGTGGAGGGAGAAGCCGAAGCTGACCCAATGCGACAGATGTCAAGGTCTGGGGCATACCGCGAAGTTGTGTAACAAGCCGAACGTCTGCGCCAAGTGTGCTCAGAGGCACCCCACGACAGAGCACAATGTTTACTGCCCGTCAGTCCTCAAGGACGGATCCAGCACCTGCAAGTGCACGCCCCGGTGCGCAAACTGTGAAGGAGATCATTGGGCTACAGAGCCCAGTTGCCCGGAAAAACGCAAATATGTTCCCAGACCAGCGCCGCCTCCGCCTCCTCAAGCATCTCAGGCACGGCAGCAGCAGCTCCAAATGCCAGCACGGCCTGCTCCACCCCCACCCATGCAAGTTGATAAATGAACGGAGCTGACTCTCTGAAGATCGTGCAACTTAACGTCGCTCGTTCCTCGATGCGCATTCATACTATACTTAATTATCTAACTGATGTACATATTCTTATGTTGCAGGAACCATGGTTTGGTCGCATAGGGCTTGACAAGGCAGATTCCACGCCCGAAGGGCGTCCCATTAACGGCCTCCCTGCATCGCCAGCATGGGAATCATTTGCCCCGTTTTCCCCTGGACGACCCAAAGTTGCTACATATGTACGGCGCAACGTTCCTGGGCTCACTGCCACACCCCGGCCAGACATCGCTAAGCACCCTAATATCTTACCTGTAGAGTTTACTTACGGAGACTTCTCTTTTCTAACAGTCAATGTATATAACGAAGGCAACGGGGCCAAGGCAGAGGTGATAACTATGTTGTCCCTCCTTCCCCTCAATCCCCTAGTACCTACTGTTGTCGCTGGGGACTTCAATCTGCACCACAATGAGTGGTCGCTCTCCCTGGTCCCCAATCAATTATCAGCTGAAGATTTGCTAGAGTGGGCGACTGACAACTTGTTTATGCTAGCTAACCCCAGAGGAGTTCGCACAAGAGTCGGGACCAGCGGGCAGCGAGACTCCATCATAGACCTCACCTTCTTCAACCGTTCAGCCATTAACGCTGCTGCCTTCACCCCTCCGATAGTAGATGAAAACTTATCCTTCGGTTCAGATCACAATGCCCTGGTTTACGCTGTCAACCTCCCGGTCGTCGAAGACGAAGGTGCCTCTGATAACTTAGGTAAACGCCTCGATCCCGGAAAACGAGAAGAATGGGAAGCCGAATTCTCTACACGATATCAGGCCATAGCAGATAGCTTCAACGATCCCGCCTCCGCACAAGAGCTAGATCTTGTTGTCCAGTGGCTGACAGATTGCTTCACTCAGGCCACCAATGCATGCATGCCAGACCGCAAGCCGAATTCACCCAAGAGTGCGCGATGGTGGAACGATGAGTGCCAAAACGCCGTAGAGGAAATGCGAAGAGCATCCCGCAAAGATAAACCGAAACTCCTCCACCGCATGCACCGAATCACCAAGAAAGCCAAACAAGGCTGGGCTAATTCAGTCCTTGAGTCTGCTACCCCCGACAATGTCTGGCGGATTGCAGACTGGTCGGCGGGAAAGCGTAAGTCTCGAATCCCACCCCTTGTCACTGACAATGGAGTTGCAGTATCCTCAGCCGAACTTGGTGAAGCCCTCAAAACTGCTTTCTTCCCTTCGGCCCCTCCGCAAGTCGCAATACAACAGCCTGATGATCCTCTGCCCAGGCATACTCAGGTGTTTGCACCTATCACCATAGACGAGTTAAGTGGGGATTCGGGGTGTGTGGCTCACTTCTTACTCGCATCTTCAATGCATGCCTTCGCCTAGGCCACCATCCTAAACCGTGGAGGGCTACCACCGTGGCCATCGTTCCAAAACCCGGGAAAACAGATATGTCCAACCCGCGGTCATACCGACCCATCTCCCTGCTGGAGTGCCTCTCCAAACTGCTAGAGAAGGTCATAGCACGAAGGATTCTATTCGACGTAGGTAAACATCAATTAATCCACACTAATCAATTTGGGTGCCGCGACAAGTCATCGACGACAGACGCAGGCGTTACCCTCATGCACGACATTCAATCTGGATGGAAGAAGGGACTAGTTGCCACCACACTCGCCTTCGACATTAAAGGATTCTTTGACCATGTCCATCATGATCGCCTAGTAGAGGTGCTTCGCCTAGCCGGCTTTCCGCAAGAAATCCGAGCTTGGGTTCGTAGCTTTGTCTCCAGCCGTCAAGTATCCATACGTGTCAACGGTACAAATACAGAACCGTCGACCTGCTCCATCGGAATACCTCAAGGATCCCCCCTCTCGCCCATTCTTGCTGCGCTCTATACTGCACCAGTCATCGAAATCTCGATAAGCAAAAATCGGTCTACACTTTACTTCTACGTTGACGATGGCATGCTTGTGGCCTTCTCCAAGTCAATCCCGCAGAACATCCGACAGCTCCAGGAAGACTTTCAGGTCATTAACTCAGCCCTGCAAGCCATAGGGCTCTCGGTTGACCACACGAAGTTCGAAGTGATGCACTTCACCAGAGCTAAGTCTCCAGAGCTGCTTCCAATCCGAATCGTTCTAAGCCCAGATAATGTGCTAACCATCTCTCCCAACCCAGTAATGAGATGGCTAGGCTTTTTCTTAGACCGCAAACTAGAGTTCAAAGAACATGTCCGCATAATGTGCAATCGTGCCATGTCCAAAATCCAAGCGTTGACAGTGCTGGGCAACTCGGTCCGCGGAATGAACCATGCCAACCGCCGCCTGGCCTACAAGACCATTGTCCTCCCGGTACTAACCTATGGGGCGGCACTTTGGTATACAGGTGTTCGCCAGAAAGGCTTGACAAAGCAAATGGCCAAGATTCAGAACGCAGGCCTTAGACTCATTTTGGGAACCTTTCGCACGTCGCCAACCGCTGCCCTCCACCACATTGGATCAATCCTCCCCATTCCACTACTACTTGAACGCACACTCGATAACATGGCTATTTGCTTGCGAACACTTCCACGGCACGCACAGCCCATCGTGCGCCTGGCAGAGCCCTGGAACCGCGGCCCAGTCCAGGGACCTACCCATTCAAAGAGCAGGACAAAAAAGCTCACAAACCTCCAGCAACTCGCAACCCGAGCACATTTTACACTTGACATCGATGAACGCACCAATCCATATGCCACACCTCCTTGGCAGCTAGGGAACATATGGGGCTGTAGGCTGACTTTCTCGAGCTACGCCCCACGGGATAAAGATGTCCGCAAACAGCTGATCCGCAACATCCGTGAATGCGAAAGCAAGGCAACAGTAGATCCAACGGTGATCAACATCTTCACAGACGGCTCTAGGCATTTGGTAGGTGACGAATTCAAAACTGGAGCTGCCTTTACTGCTTTCTACCTAGGCAAGGAGGTTAGCAAGGGCCTGCTAGGCCTAGGTGCTTGCTCCGACAATTTTGATGGTGAAATGTTTGCCCTAGCGCACGCATCCAGGCACCTCCACCAAATCCTGCAAGACCGACCACAAGTACAACGTGTCCGCTTGTTCGCTGACAATACTTCGGCCATTTCGGTAGTCTACGATACCAGCCCTCACCCCTCGCAAGATGCTTCAGTAATTTTCCGCCGCAGCATAGACAAGCTGCTATCCGACCGGCAGGATGTCACCATTGATGTATTGTGGTCGCCAGGCCACTCAGGAATACGAGGCAACGAACGAGCGGACCAACTAGCCAAACAAGCCGCTACCCAAAGGTCTTTCATTGGAACTACTGTTGCTTGGGCAAAAGCACGCACCAAGGCAACTGCGCTCGAACATTGGGTACAGGAATGGAAAGAACTCCCAAAAAACTCACCCTCGTCTTTGTCCCTCACACGGCCACCATCAACTCGGTTAGACAAGTTCCATCGGACGTTTACAGGAAACCGGCGCACCTACTCGCACACCGTTCAGGCCCTGCTGGGTCACGCATTCACTGGGGAATATTTCGCCAGATTCGTTCCACGGCTGCACGCAGCCTGTCCATGTGATGACTCTTTGCTTCAAACTAGAGCTCACATCCTGGTAGACTGCCCGCTGCACGAACATGCAAGAGACGCTCTACGCGAAGCGTCGTCAAATCTTTCAGTAGATTTTTTATTGGGAACTCAAAAGGGAATAATGGCGGTGGCCAAGTTCATCAGCCGGTCGACTGCCTTTCGTCCACCCGACTCAAATAACAGCTGAGCCCAACCTTTCTCTCTGCTCTCCCCTTACTTCCCTGGTTCCTATACCTTATACTTCTTATAATTCTACAGCCTCGAGCAGCATAACATTTATCTGACACACCCTTCTCATAGATGAATCTCCCCGAACGCCCCCGGGAACTACTCCTAGTACGGCCCCACTCACAAATGGCCCCAAGCCTCGTCACAAACGGGTACGGCAGGTAGCTTTTTCCCAACGGCCTTTTCCCACAGGGTTTTGCCAATGGGTTTTTTAACGCACCCTCGCCGCCAACGCCTGGTTTGGGCTCTGGCTCCCAGGCAGGGATAGTAGCTACACGTACGTACCTACCCCCCCACCGCGTCTTAGTAGCAGTAGCATACTTGTTGCGGTATATAAATGCAGACATAAAAAAAAAAAAAAAAAAAAAAAAAATATGTCACGTATTTCATTATTCGACTGCCAGTATATCTTTCAGGGAAATCACAAGAAATCACCGACAATTTCTGGCAAAACCCGAGGTTTGGTGGCTTCCCATGGTCGGGCATGATCGCGCGGCGTGCACAGTGTGACGTCACCACACCGCTTTGTTCCCGCCTCTCTCTTTCATGTCGCGTCACGTTCCCTTTGTCTCTACCATCTCTTTGTTGCTCGTTATGTCACGCATAATGTACCATAGTATTTAGGACGCGAGGACAAGGCTCTCTAGCCATACTCGCAGCGCTCGCGACGCGCTTCGTTTTAGTCTCCCATCCTCCTCTCTTAGACACATATACATCCTCGCTTTTTTATCTAGTTTGTAGTACTATCATCGATGAGATGGAGGAAATAACGCGTTCGAATATGTAAGAGTGGTTAAGGAGCATATTAAAGGAGTCCAGGCGCGCCCAAGGTCATCAATGTGATGTATTATCGAAATAATGCGTCGAAACATGCAAGAGATGGCCAGGGAGCATTCTGGAGGAGTACGGGGATAGCGAAGGTCACCAGTGAGGGAACAATGCCATGGGATATGCAAGAGAGGGTCAAATAACTGGAGGAGTACAAGAGAATAACTAAGATGATGATGTGAGGGTTTGGTATTTGAAAGAGAACACGCCACTCCATCGTCAAACCTCCACCTTGGGGCCAGCCACTACTCGAGCTGCGAGTTGAGTTCGACTTGGAAGCGTCCACAGCTTCAAGCAGCTCTACCTCTGGATCTGCCTCCGCATCCGAATCCACATACGCGTCCGCCTCATCCTCAGCCTCGGCATCCACATCAGTCCGTTCATCAGCATCGCCCTCGCCAACAGACACATCTGTCCTCACAGCGGACACAGGGTACGTTTCCAGACGCGACTGGTCACCTGAACTTCAGGGGAGGGTCGCAATGGTCGGCGGTAAAGGTGGGACGGGACCACCGCGGCGGGACGACGAGTGCAGGAGGGCGGAGGCGCAGCAAGGACTCTTCCAGCGAGTACTGTGTGTCCGGGAGAGCATCTGTATGGTGGATGCTCCACTCGGGTGGAGGTTAAGAATGAGTTTGGTGGTGTTGGATGGCTGCGTGCTAGGCGACAGCGGCAATGGCAGCCAGTTGCTGAGCATTGCATATACAGCGGCGCTCAACGCGCTTATGTTCTGCGCCAGCTATGTACATCGAGGCATGAATACTGGTTCGACGAGAGATAAGCAAATTGCTTACCAACTACATACTGCACCGGACCCTTGCGACCCAGTACCCCATTTCTCGACATATTTTCCCCGTAACGACCTGGGAAACCGCATTGGCGGCAGATACGCTATTCTTGAGCATTCGTTGGTGGAAATCTGGGCAGCGGAGGCACCGTTCATACCTGAAGCAGATTATCAGCTACAGCTTCTAAGATCACAAGTCAAACGTACTGCTCGTGATACTGCCAAGGCTGCCCGAACCGTCTGAACAGGCCCTGCGTGCGCGATGACATGGGCGATAGTAGCGAAAAGGTTTGATAAAATTGTACCATTCGGATAGGGAGAATGCTCCTCGCCAGTGGCGGCAAGGAGACCAGGCTGGGTGTGGATGTAAAGGCGTAGAATAAATGAATGAGATATGTCGCGTATGACAAAGTGCCTGCACACCAGGTGTTTGTTTGGCTGGTGTTTGGCAAATGTGGGCGTGGGACAGCAACTGCCAGCTGCCGCAATTTGAACTTTACGCCCTTTACGCCGCTTGCCACAGAATGACAGCCACACCTGCCGTTTTTATGAAAGGTTCGTTTATATAATATCCGCCATTGCTGCCTTAAGCTCATGCAATGGTTTAGTTGAGTCCTCCGCGGCCGAGGTCTTCATCAGCAATCCCTGCACGAATACATCGTCACTAAACGGAACAGATATTCTAAGGCAAAAGGGGACGAGTGTCATACTCAAACCATCGAACCGGTGAGTATCTTCGTGAGGCTCATGTTCTGTTTCCGTGTGACACGGGCTTTGTAGTGCGCGCATTCATTCGATATTGTCCGACCCCGCCCTCTCGTGAGCTCAAGGTATTGAGAGCGTTGACTTCGATGGCGTTTGCGAGAGTTCCTCGTCAGTGCATTGGTTGGTGAGTTGCTTCCATTCATTTCTCTTCTGTTCATGTCTCTGTTTGGACTCCATACCCGTCATTTTCAACGACTGCGGTGCTACGAACCACGGTTACTGACCTCCCGTCTTGCATTCTGCAGCGCCTTTCGTCTTGCCGTACCATTTTTCCATCCTTGACTCAGATCGTGCCGTTTGCATCGATGGCCTTGGGACTCTCGTCCTTCAAACGCATCGACAAATCGGCAACGACCATCCCCAATCCCATGTATTTCCATCCCATCGCTTCGACACCCACCAATGACACGCATGCTATTTATTACCTTGATCGACTAAGGGAGAGCATCGTGGATATTGTGAATGAGTCGGACAACTGCAAGTGCCCATAGTACGTGATTAGTCTTACACTCTGTGAAGCGCCATCTCAACCGTCCGTATTCAGACTCGGCTTTGCCTGTATCCAAGTGCCCACGAGCAGAACACAGTGCTGACCCGCGCGTCGCCATACGTGTCTGTGAACTCAAGGGACTTATGACATGTCCGGACTTTGGCGCGTCCCGCTCTAGTCAGTCTCATTTGATGCTGTCTGTCACTTTTTTGTCCTGAGGCCGCATTCCAAGGCGCATATGATGTCCAACCTCGAAGATGAAGACCTCGCACCCGACGCTACGCTCCTAGCTGTAATCGGCGTCCTCGACGCTGCGAGGGACGAGACCAGTGTTGTTGCGTGGATACACGGGGGTGGGCTGTGGGTTGATGATGGGACACACGAGAACGAGGCTGCGAAGGATGCGTCGCCTGATGCAGCATCAGCTGCTCTGTCGGGCGTGGCGCCAGAGGACACCAAGTCGACTGTGGCATCGACTTTGTGAAACATTTGAGCTAACTGTACATCGTCTGATTTCTCGTAGTCCGGATTTGAAGATGGTATATTGCAATGTTGGCTTGACAACGTTGACCGAGTCGGTCACATCAAGCTCGTTTCCTCGAGGCGAAGATCACGTCGCTCGAACTCGATTATGGACATGCCTTAGCCGTGACAGAGCTTCATACATGCGCTCGGGAATATCGTGCGATCCTTGGTTGGTTAGATCGTTGGTGGACTGGATGGTAAGATAGACCCTGCTGATGCGTGTATCCGTAAGCATTCTTGCAAGTTCTGTCATGTTCGTCTTCGGATCGTCTGCGTGTAGAGATTAACGGTAATATTATCGGCTACGAGAGGCACCCTTGTTCAAGCAAGACCTTCCCATGCTCTCTTTTGGCCAGTACGAAGTCGATTTCCTATGTCCTGCAGCTGCTTACCTGTACCGACGTTCACCCCGTAGAGAATCTTCAACGTCAGGCCCAAGTTTGAGATCATATGATTGTCGAGGCCGATCCGACATAAAGTACGATTTCGATTGTTAGATGAGCGACTGCGACTGTCGTTCCCTCCAAACAAAGGGCGCTCAAATCTCGTACCGTTAGCGCCTGTGTCTCGTTAGTCCCTCCTTTTTCCCTCGACTATGTTGTGGAACTAACTTGACTTTGATATCAGCACTCAAGCTTACAATTGATCACTCGGTCCATGCCTTAGCCAATATTGTCCGTTCACCGTCAACCTCGGGCTCACAGAGAAACTTCACGCGTCGATTTTCTCGTGGCGGCGGATACGAGTTTCACTTGGTTCAATCTTGGAGCAAATTATGCGACGAAGTTTGGGCGAAGCTGATTAACAGAACCTCGTTTTCTTAGCTTGAACCAACGAGTTTATCGGTGTTCGAGTTGGTCGATGCTACGCACTCATCCCAGTCGGCTCTTGAGTACCATAAGGGATTACTCTTCGTTGATCCACGGCCGACGAGCAGCGCCGCGCACCATAGCAATGGCGAGGGCGCCGATCTGTACCTACACAAGCCCTCAAGTACGAAAAAGGACTATGCTTTTCCTACCTCACACCCATGAACAGCGACGTCAACGCTGTTGGTGACGCACACAAAGCTACTGGCTGCATTGCTTCCACTCACGAAGTCCACGCGTCGTCGTCGACAATCCTTGTATCCGGCCGCCAATGTTCTACAGCTCCATAGGGGACTACGCTGGAGGAGATGAGCATTGATGCTCAAACGAGTTCGTCCAGAAGAGCACATCTCGACGCTCACCAACCCATCACCGAGTAATCGCTCTTGAAAATTATCATTCCTGTTCCACGCTGGTGCGACGGTACTCACCATCGTTAAACACCACAGAGCTTTGATGTGGAGTGTTGGCCTCGAAGACTTTGTACAGAATGTCGTTTACCATATCGGCTGGTAACGCCAAGGTATGTTCTACATTCGTTCGTTTTCTGAAGGCGTTGTGGCTGACTACATTTTCAGCGTCTTTCCGGTCGTACTCCTGAGAAATGGTTCAGCAGGTTGACGTTGTCTGCCCTTCAGAGCCACCGGAGGGGATTCACTGGGTTTCTCACCCCCGTCCTAGGCTTCACACCACCGTCTGCGCAGTCTCACCTGCATTCATCACTGCAGAGACAAGGCCATCAGTACTGTAGTTGATGCGAATGTGCCGGAAAGGATGAAGAAGCTGAAACCGGTTGTTGAGGATCTTGTGCAGGAGATTACGGTGGTGGCGAGTCTGGAGTTGGAGGAAGGCAATAGGAAGAGGATGGCGTGATGGGTCGCCATGAGGGATGGTAGCTAATTGCTTTGCACGTGGACAGTGATATACGGAAAGTCGTAAATAGTTGTATAAGACTTTTGTGTATTTCCAAGGTTCTGCTCGGTGCAAGGAACGCTGTCTTAAGTGCACATGCCTTTGCCTTGAACACGACCGGGACAACACCGGAGTACTCCGCGCATGCATATGTCTAACCCAGCCAATGCTCGTTATTTCTACGGCCTGTCTAATATTGATCTGGGACTCTTCCGGATCCCTGTTGAACCTTCAATGTTGTCAGAAAGCCTGAAAGGAGGCGTTCAAACTAGCCCCTATCAAGCTTAAAGCTCCGATGGGGTTGTTTACACCTGCATTTTCCTACCCTTGTCGGCGCGCACCTTCTCCAGTCCACCTACTGCTCCAGGCATATGCGACCTGCTCTTAGTGATTCGAAACGATTTGAAGACCAACACGGCAGATAGATGTAGTGCGGGTAGTCCACTCGTAAGTTTGCCACTTTCTGCGAAAATCACGCGATGAGTGATGTTTTGTACATGGCCATTTTCAGGATATGACCGTCGTTCATGATCAACATGGATCAAACGCAGTGCTGCTCTTCTTGATGTAGCGGGCACGGTTCACCGACCGCGTGTCACGACTCCCACTCGCCTTCTCCATCGACTCCGTCGATACCATCGATCGATGTCAGCACACAGAGCAGTTGTTCGTCCGGTTTGCCTGCCTCTTGCTCGATCCACGGACGATCGTCGCATTCGGCCGCTCTCGGGCTCTGCACGGTTCACCGCAGACTCCCTGCGGCATCGACTCTACAGACAAACGTCGCGATCATTCACACTTGAGCACCTAACCTACTGGAAACCTGTACGGCCCACCGAAGGTTTTCAGTAGGGTTCCCTGCCGACGCTTGCAATGCAAACCTGGACGGTTGACCGCTGGGTTTCTCCACCGACGATTGTCGCAATCATCACATTCCACTCCTGCAACTCTGCACAGTTAACCGCGGGATCTCTGTGGTGTCGGCTCCACCATTACATTCTACGTGAGCGGCCACCTGCACGGTTTCACCGAAGGTTTCTTGCAGTGATCACTTTCGCGATGATATTCGCAATCACCACGACTCTGCATAATAACTGCGAGTTCTCCTCGGCGTTTATTCTGCAGACGGTCGTCGCGGTCCTCACCTCTGTACCTTGCCTGCTGAAACCTGCACGGTTCACCGAAGGTTCTCAGCAGCGTTTTCTGCCGACGATCTTCTAATCATCGCATTCGTACCTTACCTGCTGGAAACCTGTACGGTTCACCGAAGGTTCTCAGCAGCGTTTCCTGCCGACGATCTTTGTAATGCCGCCCTCAAGTCCTCCACGGTTCACAGTCCCACCCACTCTACAGCGGATCACCACAATTACGACATTCCATACTTACCCCACGAATTGCTGCAAAATCTACGCAGTAGTCAGCTCCAGGCCACCGACATCTTCACCTTCTACCTTGCCTGCTGGAAACCTGTACGGTTCACCGAAGGTTGTCAGCAGCGTTCCTTGTCAATGATCCTCCTAATCATCGCATTCGTACCTTACCTGCTGGAAACCTGTACGGTTCACCGAAGGTTGTCAGCAGCGTTCCTCGTCCACGATCTTCCCAATCATCGCATTCGGCCCCTATCATAACCTCCACGGTTGGCCGCACGTTCTCTGTAGTTTTCACTTCATGGACGGATGATGATCGCAATTGTCGCCTTCTATTATAGCCACTCTTTAGGCCCCCGTGGTTCCCCCAATCAATCCTTTAACTTGAAGATTACATTGGTTCATCATAAAAATTTCGACTCAACTGCGAATTCGTTTTATGAACGAAAAACCCATTGAAATCGGCGCGCTTCAAAAATACCATACAAGAGGCGGCCGCCTGGAAGACTTTCCGCAAAGAAATCAAGGCACACATCGGGTTTGGCTTTACATGCAGGATGGGGTTGTGCTCGCCCGGATTTGGTTGCATAATGCAGGTGCTGCTTGCGGTTGGACGAAGTTGGATGGACGACGGAGTGGAAGGAGCGTCATGGGGCGCGATCATCTGGAGTATGCCTACGCGAAAGACATCTGAACGTCTCCTGGAGCTCTTGGACTCTGCATAGTGATCCCCGGTCACCCCGATGACGCACGTTGCCAGACCTTGTCGTCGGCGTCGTCGCCGATCCATGTGCGTATCCCCACGCGCCATTCCAGTCACGACGACCATGCCCCCAGACCTCTCGCTCATCACGCTTGGCTCCCGGTATCACGCATCCACCTCTCTCCCCGCTGCGCGACGCATCTCAAGCCCTATCATTCATCTCACTACATTCCCTGTCCACTTCAACAGGTGCCACACTTCCCCGCACGACCTAACGTCCATCAATGCGCTGGCAGCAACCCACAACCCTCACGGACCCGTTGCGGCCATTTGCGAGGGCCGCTAATTAGCGCGATTCGTCGCGAAAACGCGCAACTTTTCATAGACTATAGTCAACACAGCACGGCGCGGCTTGGGCTAGCTCGAACGCTCGGCCTTATAAGCCTTAGCGAGTGACACTCAGTCTCTCAAACTGACACTGAACTACTCGCCTCTGAAACCGAACTCCTTTTCAGACTCATTCACCAACCCCGATACAAACAGTAACCTCGCCAGTAGCGTGTGCTACTACGTGCGCGCGGTGCTCCCCACTCCACCCTTATCGTTCTCCTCATCCGCGTTTTCTTCAAACTCGTCGCCGACCACATCCCAGCTACCGCGACAAGCTTCTGCACGCCGGCAAGCGGCGGAATTTATCGTATTTGAGGTTACGATCCCAATCACAATCATGATCGTAATCATGATCCCTCGTGGCGTGCACGCCTACCAGACGCATGTGCTTGCACCCGTCGTTACTGGTGCGCCTCTCATGAAGAGAAAGTTTGGCGCAATCGATACTGCGGGTAGCCTCGGCAATATTACGAGCGGTGAGTTTTTTTTGTTTTGTTTTGCCTGTAATTGTAGGAGTCGTGGCTGACACTCAGTATTCAGGCGCTAACGGTGCAGACGCAGCGCCTCCACCATCAATCTTTACGCTGACAAATGCTCAAGGCCAACGTATCTGCCGCCAATGCGGTACGCCAGGTCGTTACAAGGAGGGTAAATGCGTCGAGAAATGGGGTCCAGGGTCTCAAAGGCCTGGTACAGTATGGATTGGTAAGTAAGCCCCGTAAACTTCCGTTGACCTGTACTCATCTCTGGGTGCAGTTGTCGCAAAAGATGAAACGCGTTAAGCGCCGCAGTACATTGGACTGGCGGCCAACTTCGCTATTGCCCAACACGCAGCCACCCAGCAGCAGCCACCGATGCAATCTCAACCTCGCATCATCCATTCACCACCCGAGCGCGGCATCCACCGTACAGATACTCTACCCAACACGCAGCACTCGCCATACGCGCCCAGCGAGGAGTCGTCGCTGTGCCCCTCCCCCTCCCGCACTCGTCGTTCCGCCGCGGTGGTCCTGTCCCGCCGTCACCTCCGACCATCGCGATACTTCCACCAAGTTCAAACGCCGAGGCACCAGCGCCAGCGGGAGCTGCTGCCGCCCTTAGCGGCTGCGTCATCGCGCGCCAACAGCCGAGCCAACTCGTGGAGCAGCGCATGCCGTGCACGTCCCGCCGCGACGCCTAACCGGCCTGCGACGCCTGCTGACGCCGCTAGCATTGGCACGTTGGCTGCGCTTGTAGCTGCCAGGAAGAAGTCGCTAATAATCGTCGAGGATTTACATGGGAACGTGCCCGCGTCGGCTGTGAGGATGAATGTTGATGGAGAGAGTAACGAGACTGGCGACGCGGATCGTGAGGCTGAGGGTGGCTGAGGGCGACGCCCGTGCGGATATGGATGCGGACACGGAGGCTGATGCGGAGGGTGAGCTGCTTGAAGCCGTCCAGGCTGCTGAGGCGAACACGAATCACAGCTCGGGCGGCGGGTGGCCCAAGGGGGAGGATTGATGGCGCGGCGTATTCGTTTTTCTTGCTTCCCCTGTCCGTCTTTTGCTATCACTGTTCATTTGGACCGGTGTACATGTTTCGCCATCATATTTGTAGTCCCCATCTCTGTTTACCATATCCCGATTACCATGGCACCTCGCTCTGCAACTGAGTTGGGATGCTCGCTGTATACCTGGACGTCATGTACCACCCCGGTCTCCTTCGAGACTGAGATTTCGATTACGCGGATGACAGCCTTCTTTCTGCTGGCCCAAACCACGAGGTCTTTCCATCTGCCTCGCCACCCGTCCGTCTCATTCCGCCCGCATCTCAATCATTATAATCACCGGCAATCCATTATCTTACAAGCACTGGAAATCTATTGCGAGGTACTTAGCTTGAGCAAAGACAAATATAAATAGGATGAATTTTCGGACCAGGGTAGAAAAATGCATGAAGTAAACTGAAACATCAGCAAATATGTCAAAGCGTCAGACATGGGCGAGTGAACTACGGAAGGGCGAGCAAAGCTTGAGTACTGGCATATTCATCCGAGATCGCAACAGCCCTTTACCCAAGGTAACAGCCTCTCATCTTTATCGATTGCTGTGCGCTCACTCCCCATTGTCAGACACTTTTCAAGGCGATTAAGACAGGAGTCGATACTCCTGTCGGAGGCTCGACTAGGTGTTGGCCCAAGAAATCGGCCGATGAAAAAATTGGCATACGCTTCGACTGGGGTAGAGCGGCTTTTAGGGACTCACACGGCTTGTGGTGGCGTATCCTTAACCTACAACTGAACGCAAACGCTGAAAGCGAGGCTATACGCAAGGCGGCTCAAAAGAACGGGACTGATGACACTCGATCCAAGATTTAGATTCCTACTATACCTAGAGGCAAGGCGCTCCACCCCGATATTAGCTCAGTTCAAAGTTGACGGAGACGGCTGAAGACCGTCGTTTCGGAGACATGTCCGCGATCAGATCACTTCGGAGATCTTGACAAACGGTGTCTAGACCTATGCTCGTACTCCGTTGGCCGCTAAAGTTCGTCATCCAAGCTCGTATTACGCTGGCTGGCGTCGCATTCTGTGCCTCTTTGCAACTTTCTATATTGATGTGCTAGCGCTCCTTGTTGTCGAGTAAGTAGCTTAGGATGATAAATGTCAGTGACTTTTTACGCCCCAATGGTGCCGCGGCAGCGAGGGAAATACGACCAAGTCTTCATGCACGTGACGAAAAGATTTGCCGACAACTCTACAAAATCTCAACAAATCGAGAAAAAATAAAATCCGGGGTCATTTGAGCGCCCTTTGTTTGGAGGGAACGACAGTCGCAGTCGCTCATCTAACAATCGAAATCGTACTTTATGTCGGATCGGCCTCGACAATCATATGATCTCAAACTTGGGCCTGACGTTGAAGATTCTATACGGGGTGAACGTCGGTACAGGTAAGCAGCTGCAGGACATAGGAAATCGACTTCGTACTGGCCGAAAGAGAGCATGGGAAGGTCTTGCTTGAACAAGGGTGCCTCTCGTAGCCGATGATATTACCGTCAATCTCTACACGCAGACGATCCGAAGACGAACATGACAGAAACTTGCAAGAACGCTTACGGATACACGCATCAGCAGGGTCTATCTTACCATCCAGTCCACCAACGATCTAACCAACCAAGGATCGCACGATATTTGCGAGCGCATGTATGAAGCTCTGTTACGGCTAAGGCATGTCCGTAATCGAGTTCGAGCGACGTGATCTTCGCCTCGAGGAAACGAGCTTGATGTGACCGACTTGGTCAACGTTGTCAAGCCAGCATTGCAATATACCATCTTCAGATCCGGACTACGAGAAATCAGACGATGTACAGTTAGCTCAAATGTTTCACAAAGTCGATGCCACAGTCGACTTGGTGTCCTCTGGCGCCACGCCCGACAGAGCAGCTGATGCTGCATCAGGCGACGCATCCTTCGCAGCCTCGTTCTTGTGTGTCCCATCATCAACCCACAGCCCACCCCCGTGTATCCGCGCAACAACACTGGTCTCGTCCCTCGCAGCGTCGAGGACACCGATTACGGCTAGGAGCGTAGCGTCGGGTGCGAGGTCTTCATCTTCGAGGTTGGACATCATATGCGCCTTGGAATGCGGCCTCAGGACAAGAAAGTGACAGAGAGGACTTAAGGGCGGCATTACAAAGATCGTCGGCAGGAAACGCTGCTGAGAACCTTCGGTGAACCGTACAGGTTTCCAGCAGGTAAGGTACGAATGCGATGATTGGAAGATCGTTGACGAGGAACGCTGGTGACAACCTTCGGTGAACCGTACAGGTTTCCAGCAGGTAAGGTAGAAGGTGAAGATGTCGGTGGCCTGGAGCCGAATACTGCGTGGATTTTGCAGCAATTCGTGGGGTAAAAATGGGAAGTCATAATTGTGGTGATCCGTTGTAGAGTGGGCGGGACTGTGAACCGTGGAGGACTTGAGGGCGGCATTACAAAGATCGTCGGCAGGAAGCGCTGCTGAGAACCTTCGGTGAACCGTGCAGGTTTCAGCAGGCAAGGTACAGAGTGAGGACCGCGACGACTGTCTGCAGAATAAACGCCGAGGAGAACTCGCAATTACTATGCAGAGTCGTGGTGATTGCAAATATCATCGCGAAAGTGATCACTGCAAGAAACCTTCGGTGAAACCGTGCAGGTGGCCGCTCGCGTAGAATGTAATGGTGGAGCCGACACCACAGAGATCCCGCGGTTAACTGTGCAGAGCTGCAGGAGTGGAATGTGATGATTGCGACAATCGTCGGTGGAGAAACCCAGCGGTCAACCGTCCAGGTTTGCATTGCAAGCGTCGGCAGGGAACCCTACTGAAAACCTTCGGTGGGCCGTACAGGTTTCCAGTAGGTTAGGTGCTCAAGTGTGAATGATCGCAACGTTTGTCTGTAGAGTCGATGCTGCAGGGAGTCTGCGGTGAACCGTGCAGAGCCCGAGAGTGGCCGAATGCGACGATCGTCCGTGGATCGAGCAAGAGGCAGGCAAACCGGACGAACAACTGCTCTGCGTGCTGACATGGATGGATGGTACCGACGGAGTCGGTGGAGAAGTGGGAGTCGTGACACGCGGTCGGTGAACCGTGCCCGCTACATCAAGAAGAGCAGCACTGCGTTTGATCCATGTTGATCATGAACGACGGTCATATCCTGAAAATGGCCATGTACAAGACATCACTCATAGCACGATTTTCGCAGAAAGTGGCAAACTTACAAGTGGACTACCCGCACTACATCTATCTGCGTGTTGGTCTTCAAATCGTTTCGAATCACTAAGAGCAGGTAGCATATGCCTGGAGCAGTAGGTGGGGTGGACTTGAGAAGGTGCGCGCCGACAAGGGTAGGAAAATGCAGGTGTGAACAACCCCATCGGAGCTTTAAGCTTGACAGGGGCTAGTGTCGTAGGGCCTCACAGCTTGGTTTCTCCTCGCATCTGAGGAAAGATCACAGCAAATTTGGAACCCTTACTCACCACTCTGAACCGCAGATAAGGTCAGATGCGTACCCATGAACCATCGGGCCTGGCACGGAGCTTATGCAAAGAGAATAAGCACCCGCTTCCCCCTTGTCAGTACTTTATCAACTTATTTATGGATGCAGCGAGCTACGATACCTATATCTGCTACTAACAGATACTATCAGAGTCATTGATTATTTTCTGCCAATACTGTAAGTTAGCGATGCGTAGTGTAACGACTAAACAAAAAAACAGTGCGAGTTGCGTCCGTGTGTGAGCAGTAGCAAGAGACAAAACCTATGCTGATTCATCCATACGGTGCTCCATATCCTCATGGGTAGCATCCACATCCATCGGGACATCCTCCTTGCTCGATCCCATTCGATCCAGTAAAGATTTAGCCCTGACGGGCTGGCCGGTGGAGGATGCTGTGGTCGGATCCGACGGGCGACCTTCCAAAGGAAGTTCCGCAGGGGCTACAACGGTACCAGCAGCTAGAGAGGAAAGTAGAAGTGTCAGTTCATTGCTCGGACGCAGGTACACAAAAGAGAAGAGAGCGTACCACCAATAGCTGTACCACCAGTCGCCTCAGCCAGAGACTTGGCCAGCAGACGTACACGTTTGGGAGGGCGAACGCGCTGGCTCTTAGTTCTTCTTATCCCCGACGCATTCGTTGCAGACCCTGGGGTCGGGAGCGCTGATGCTGCCAGAGGAGCCATGTTGAGACTCGCGTCCCTACCTCCCCGTTCGGGTGCGGGTGAATATAGCTGGGCATCCAGTGATGGGCGAGAGGACGGTAACGTCGCTGGAAGAAGCCGGTCACGTTCCTCAGTGGCGATCCCACTGCTTGAGGCTGATAACGACGACCTTGCAGATGTTGCGTCGACGTATGGGGTTTGGTCATGGCTAGTCCGCCGAGGAGAGGACAACGGTGAGCGACGATTGGGGGAACGCGAGCTGAATCGACGGACAGACGTCAAGCTACGATGGCTGGGTCGGTGGTCATCTTGACGTGAACAGCTGGGCGAAGACTCCGTAGGTGATCCGGAGGAGGCTCGTCGGGAGCTCATCCCAACTGAAAATCTCGACGCTCGGGATAACAGTGGGGAGCTAGACCGAGGAGAGCAAGGACGAGGAGGAGAACCAGAAAGAGGACATCCAGTTTGGTTGCCACGTAAGTTCTGCAACGAATCTGTACGCAAGTCCGACTTGGAGGACGGGAGCGGCCGAACTAGTGAAGCGGCATCTCCTCCTGAAGTTGACATGCTGGTCGACAGAGGTCCCATAGAATATTCCTCGTTGATGGACCGAGCTAGTGAAGCCGAATGTTCACCTTGAGTAGGCATGCTACTCATAAGGGAATCCATACAGGCATCCTCGTTGTCCGAGAGTCCCAGGCTGGCGATGGACTCCTCGTCTTCCTCATTCAACAAAGGAAATCTAGTATCCCTCTCCATATACTGAGGAGCAATGGGCGATGGAGGCGCGATAATAATTGATGGCTCCAATACCAACGATGCATCAGCATCCATCGTGGCAGATGAGGGTTTCCAAATCGTCTTGGCGTCTACCTGCAGCAAGCTGGGAGGGGCGTCTGACGCAGCTTAAGTTTCATGAGTAAGGAAGGAGGGGGACACAAGACGGTTGCACATACTCAGAGTATTTCTGATTTCCTTTGCCGGTATACCAATTGAATGGGCGGGCGTCAGAGTTGCTGATGTTGGAGAGAGAGCTGAGCCGGAAGGCGAGGAATCTGGAGGCCCAACAGGCCCCGGCGTTGGTGGGACCAATTCAAAATTGCTGGGAGGAGTCGTGGACGAAGCGGGGTCAACATCCCCGGCTGAGGTTGTACTAGGAGGTAGACTAGCGAGCGTAACTGGTGCGACAGACGTAAGATTGCCCAGAGCCTGCAAGGAGATGTCCAAGCGGAGAGGCTCAGACGAACCCGCTGGGGTTCCTAGCTTGGGATCACTCTGCGAATCTGTTGAATGCTTGGTTACAACTTCCTTGATCGGCATGGTAGTAACATTGGTCGTCCCCATTGTTGCCAAAGTGGACGCCGAGGGTGAAGGATCACGTGGGAGGGAGTTTTCAGTAGAATGCTCGAGGCTCGGAGTTTTTGCAAACGTCATCGGCGGTCCCGGCTCGGGGATGCTCGGTAGATTACTGCCAGGCAGCGGGGTACTAGGGGCCAAGGCGGCATGATAGGCTGCCAGGGCGTCATCCTCGGACATGCGTTCAACCGGAACAACGGAGGTGTCATCCTGGACGGACCTCAGCTGGCCCTGGGGGTCTCGATATACAGTAGCAGGACCATAGCCAAACCCGTCGTCGTCATCGTCATCCTCGCCAACCCATGGCGAAGAAGGCTCAGGTTGTCGCGTAGTTGGGGGATCCACGACAGCACCAGCCTTCGGCGAGGAAGGTTTGCGATCTGGGTACATCCAGTGGGACGGGGGTACCTGTCGGAGAAGCGGGTGCTTGTCCTCAGGACGAAAGTACCGCAGTCTAGGAGCAGCCCGTCCGTATCCCTCATTGTTAGGGCCTTCGTCCGCCGTAAATACGAAGTCGTGCGGAAAATAAATTTCCCTGAGGTTTTCACGATCATAGTTTACGAAGGGGTAATCCTCTGTCAATTTACTCTTCTTGCCTACCTGACGCACTATCCATTTGCGAGGATCAAATTCATCGTCGTCCTCCTCCACAATCCATTTTGTCCAGGGGCCGGGCTTCAGAGCCGCAACCGGCGGGGGTTGAATCCAAATGAATGAAGATCCGTCTGGATTGGTCAGCTGAACTTGGCTCAAGGTTGGCGCAGGAAGCGAGCGCAAACGGCGAGACATGGAAAGGCGACGCCCTTTGTACTCGAAGACATCTTCATAGGACGTGGGACGTGAAGGCGCGGGAGCTGAAAACGTGGATTCCTCGGTACGTATGATGGCAAAATGGCTTGTTGATGACCGGCGATTGGCGGGAACAAGACGATAACCCTGAGCATTGGGATGCGTTAATGGGTCGATGAAGGTGCTACAAGCCCCGCGGTGACTTTCCGGGAGCACCTCAGAATCCGGAAGGTCGGTGAGTTCTAGGAGGCGGAGGCCGTGATGAAGGGCCTCCCTCTCATAAGGGTTGCAAAAGGAGCGAGTGAAGTATTCTTCGCGTTCGGAGGCGGAAATGAAAGTACGAAGTGGCAGAGAGGAGGAGGGTGAAGAATATTGATCTTGTTCGCTGTACATGTGGAGGACAAAACAGGGCGCTAATCCGGTGGTTAGGAAGAGCATAGCGTCGAACTCGCTGACTGCGGTGAGCCAGACGCCAACAAAAAAACGAGGTGAGGGGCAGAGCTGAATGTTTCGGTTGCGGAGAGAAAAGGTGGTCTCAGTGGGCAAGCGCAGGCGAAGTTCGGCATATTTGCACCATGCATACTTGAATCGAAGACCATCCTGCACCCGACGCAGCGCGTCTACGCACTCCTGATAATCAACAATGCCTTCTAAGGCTGAAACATGCCCTTCTGTTGGAAAGATGGGCCGGAGCTCCCAAAGAGTACCCGAACGCTTCATTCGGGGGTCGGGGGAGGAAATGATTCGCTGGTCTTTGGGAAGCGCAAGGTCGTCACGGCGCGCACGATCCATGCGTTTGTCTATGTCATGATTGCGTGAGCGCAACGCGGTGGTCAGTGACTTCGTGATCCCCGCGTTCCAGTATTGATCGGAGAGGAGGGAAAAGAACTCCGGCCATCCATCGTTTATGCTTCCCAATTCGTATGGCGCAAAAGCAAGCCAAGGCATATCCGGGTCATACGCCTGAGGGAAGATTGTCGGATCGAAGCGGCCTAGCGTCCCATCGTATCGAGGCGATGGAGTGTTGTGTTCCGACTTGGGCGGGGCACGGCCGGGGTAGAAGTCGAGAAAAGTGGAATTAGGTGACCAAATCTCGGCATGAGCGTACTCTGTCACTACGAGCCGACCAGCATAGGTATAGTTAGCCGGAGGAGTGGGGAACCGAAAGGTCACTGGGTCAGTCCACACTGGCGACTGCTCAAGTCCAGCCCCGCAGCGGAGGCGATCTGCATGCACAGGTCGGGAGGACGATGCCCAAGGCATTTATGAAGGAGTGATATACGACGAGGGAGTAAGGCACGATGAAGCAATGAGCGACGGTTGAGAAGTGGAGAACGGAAGATTTCACGGAACCGTACACGGCTCTTGCCGAAGCGACGTTCAGTCGGCATTCAGCCCTCCTTATCTGCTTGTATCCAACCACCGTACATAGGTAACTATCAAGTATTAGATTTTACTTTGTTTGGAGCTGCGCTACACCTCCTATCCAACGCAATCACAAGTTGTAAGTTGAGCGCTGAGCGCTGAGTCCAAAGTGATTGCTAGTATAGTACATGCGGGAAAGTATTGTGTCATGGTGAGCTAGGTGGGTATCGTAAGGCGAGAATAATGCTACAAAGTTGGTGGTTGCAAGCTGAGTATTGAATCTTGATAGTTTGCTAGAGCAATGCTTTGCGTACGTGGGGGAAAAGATCGTGCAATGGTGAACTAGATGAGGAATGCGTGCGCTATGTGTGGAAGTAGACTTTTGTAGCGGTACGAATACAATGCATGGGTAGGTTCAATGAAGGCGTGCACGGAGAGTTGCGCCTATGCAAGCAAAGTTCATATCACTGAAGGCTAGGTGTCGGGAAATCGATGGCAAAAGGTGCGGAGCGCACTCAAGTCAGACGTCTGACACGCTCCGCAATCATTTCCTCCAGCTGACGCCAGACCACACCGACGGTGTCGCCGCTCGCTGGGGCGCGCTGAACAACAAGCTGGACGAGGGCCTGCTCCTTGAGGTTGGCATCAAACGCGGCCGGGCTGGCATTCCGGGCGTTGGCGGTTTTGCCATCAGAGCGTGAGCTGGAAGGACCAGCACTGTGTTGGATGGCGATTTTTGTTTACAAGTATTCAATACAGAGAAGGCGGTAAAGTGACTTACGTCGAGTTCACGGCTCGGGAGTGGCTGCCGAGTTGCCGAGTTGACAACAGGCGAGCGGACCAACGAGGCAGTCTGAGCCTTCTGTGGGGGTGCGGTGTGCGGTGGAGGCTGGTCCCGCGTTATCGGCGCAACAGCGAATGGGAGGTATCAACGGACGGGACGTGTACTGTCGGGGAGCAAGCGATAGATTGGTTAAGTGGGTTTATGAGGAGAGGAAAAGACGGCTTACCTCAGGGTCGTGGCGCGAGGTCGTCGAGGTGGAGCCGCTGGCATATGAACGGACACGGTCGGGAAGCCTGCTGCATATGTTGTTGAGAGGCCCGTTAGCGGCATAGAATAGAAAGTCTACCTCAGAAGCACGGCTTGACGAAGGCTGCAGAGCTGACGACGACTTCGTAGCAGAGAATGATGGCTGGCCGGCTTTGGCGCCTTCCCCTCAAGGACATGGACATCGTGGTGGTGCTGTTGAAAGTGCCCGTGAAGGGCCTTCGATTTTCTCTGGGTGAAATAATATTGAACATAGACTTTGATTTTGTCTTGGCGGTTTGGAAGATCGAGTTGAGGGAACGCAGCACAAAGCTTTCGCGGCGTTATTGAAGAGGCACACTAGGTGCTTAACGCAGTCCGGTACTCATTCCAGGCCTGAGCCGGCATGGCAGCAATTTTGGCCTTCGTATCCAACAGAAATAAAGCGTCCGCCATACGCCGGGCATGATTCTTGAGAAGAAATGTAAGCAAACATATTTGAAGTTGAAAGGGCATGCTCACCATGGCCGACCTATATGTCAGCGGCTGATCAACCATACCAAAACACTCTGCGAGATGGGTGATCTGCAAGAATGCATTCTAGTATGATATGCTTGCTTTGAAATGTGTACTTACAGAAGTTGACATGGTACAAAAGCAATCGACCGTAGCAGATGAAAAGCGTTAAGAGTCCAAGCGAGTACGGAAACAAAACCAGCGACGTTAATTGTTATGCGAGCGAAAGACGAAAAGCAAGAGTCAACGCGTTTGGAAGAATGGATGGGTCAGGAGGAACAAGGTGGACGTGGTTGTGGTTGAAAGGAAGTTGAATCGCTCCGACTCAGACTCGAGGCAGCGCCTGTCAGCGCGTGTTTCGCGTCAGGGACTTCAAGTTGCCACATGATCGTGTGCCCATTTTATCTTATTACGGTAATAGGGAACAGATGATTCGGAGCGCAATTTGACGAAATCCGCTACCACAGTTCAACCTCGCTCAACCAGTTGCTGTCACCATGTCCAGCCCTTCCAGAATGTCCGAAACATTTCACGAAACCATTCACTCTTATGCCTATACCTCAGGCTCTCGCTCTCCTTCCGTGAAACTGCCTCGCTCACCGCCCAGGACCACAGTCACCACCGAAGTAGTTCAACGAGGCCTCAGAACCCTTCAGCTCGTGATGGAATGGCCGAAGGTTCAGGATAACCCCGAGATTCTTGAAAACCTCCAAGAATTGGCTTCGGCTGTCGTGGGCTATCAAGACCACACTCAGGACCTCACCAACCAACTCGCAGACTCGCAAGCAGCACTCGCAAACTCGCAAGCAGCACTCTCCGAAAGCAACGCGAAGTTTAACACGAAGTTCTTCGAGTTCGCTGAGGACCTCATGCAAACCAGAAGGGAAAGCAAAGAAACAATCGATAAGCTTATGAGAATCATAGCGAGTTTGGAAGAGGAGAAGAATTTCGGCTCCCAAGTGTGCGTCTTATCGTCTATTAATCGTCGCCGAGCATGCTATTGACGCTTGAACTTCAGCGGGCCCCGTCAACTTGCGCCGAGCGATTCAGTGTCCAGGTTGCAATCTTCCGACTCTCAGTCGAGGCGGTCACCTCTTGCGGCAATGCCACCTCCGTCCGACGTTGACGTACCGTCTTCTTCCGGAGTTGACGTACGCGTGCCACCTTCGACTTTTAGGCGGTCACCTCTTGCGGCAATGCCACCTCCGTCCGACATTGGCGTACCGTCTTCTTCCGCAGTTGACGTGCCACCTTCGTCCAATGTTAGCGTGTCACCCTTGGATCCCAGTGGCTCTTCCTTGCAGCTTCCTTTCAACATGCAGCCTCCTATCAACTTGCCGTTTCCTCCCAACATGATGCAAGGTTCGGCCCTGCCCCAACCACTGCAACATCCGGTAGAAAGGTTAGTCGCCGTATTCTATCAGCCCGGAGTCAATGCTGAAGTCTAGACTAGTGAGCAAGTTTATTCCAATCTACCCGCCCAGTGCTTCAGCATTCTCGACTACCTCACGAAAGATGACCTTCAAAACTGGAAATATGCCAAGTATGAGCCTAGTCGAGCCCGATTCTCTAACATTCGCGAGGAAGTAGTCCTATGGACTGAAAAACTCGCTCTATCCGCTCGCGAAGCAGAAGGAAAGACCGGGGGGTCGGGGTCTGAGGCGACCTCGTCGAAGAGGTATAAGATTGCGAATAGCAGCATCAGGAATACGGACGGAGCACCAATCTCTTCCAATACGGCCAGTGCCATCACGCATCATGCTCGGCGGATTATGGAAGTCCTAGCCAGCGGTGTTCCGCTCACGAACAAACTGCAGGATATTAAGCATACACCAGCGTGGTATGGTGCGATTGCTCTCCTTGAAGCAATGTACCCTATCTTGCAATTATGCGATGATCATTGGAAAGCCTGTCATTTTCTGTCCGCGGCAATGCACAAACACACCAAGAAGCCAACCTCCGCAGCAAACGATACATCCTCTAGCGCTGGCCACGTAAAGCGCCTCGCCTCGGAGGTCGCCTCGGAGGGGACGTCTTCCCGTAAGAAAACGAGAACGCATGGGACACGGGGACGGGCCGGAAAGGCTGGTGGTTCTAGTTCTGACCACTCCGGAACCAGTGGGTCTCTCCTATGCATTGAGTTATTGCTAAGCTGACGAGTCGGAAACAGTGAAACAATAAAATTTGGCCAGACTACGGTCTCATGAATTAGGCCAACCGATGGGCGCTACAGCTTAATTCACCCTCTCCGACCCTCTCCAATTTCGATGCATCCTTCTGCGCTTTTTTGATCTAATCCATTCAACTTGCGTGCCTTCTTTACCAAATCACAACATCGTTACCTTATAACATGTCGCTACATTATATTGTTCTGCGTCGACGCTGTGGTCGTCTAGTTGCCAGTGCGTGCCTTGTCCTGAGACTGAACCGTCGTTTACTCGTGTTGTAGCCGTATTCGTCTCGCTGCATCCATGATAAAGTACTGACAAGGGGGAAGCGGGAGTGGCGGTGGTGCTTATTCTCTTTGCATAAGCTCCGTGCCAGGCCTGATGGTTCATCGGAACGCATCTGACCTTATCTGAGGTTCAGAGTGGTGAATAAGGGTTCCAAATTTGCTGTGATCTTTCCTCAGATGCGAGGAGAAACCGATTGTTATGGTTGCGATGACGGCGCTCGCGCTGATGGGCAGTGGGAGGCGGAAGGACACTTCGCTGTGTTCGGTATATGGCGAGATTTTGTTCTGCAAAGCGCGTTAACGCCGGGTGGGCAGGAGTTAGCTACCCAGGTACTTGTGAGCGTCGAAACGAAAAGACAGACGTCAACTAACCTTACGTGGTCTTAGTTCACGACGAGATTGGTCCTGTTTGTGAACGCACCCGCTCCCGGCCATGACGATCTTCAAGCACGAGTTCGCTCAGGTCAAGCTTGATTTCAATCTTCTGTCCTCGAAATCGGAAGCACTGCTTGTGATACTGCCAAGGCTGCCCGAACCGTCTGAACAAGCCCTGCGTGCGCGATGACATGGGCGATAGTAGCGTAAAGGTTTGATGGGATTGTGCCATTCGGATGGGGAGAATGCTCCTCGCCAGTGGCGGCAAGGAGACCAGGCTGGGTGTGGATGTAAAGGCATAGAATAAATGAATGAGATATGTCGCGTATGACAAAGTGCCTGCACACCAGGTGTTTGTTTGGCTGGTGTTTGGCAAATGTGGGCGTGGGACAGCAACCGCCAGCTGCCGCAATTTGAACTTTACGCCCTTTACGCCGCTTGCCACAGAATGACAGCCACACCTGCCGTTTTTATGAAAGGTTCGTTTATATAATATCCGCCATTGCTGCCTTAAGCTCATGCAATGGTTTAGTTGAGTCCTCGGCGGCCGAGGTCTTCATCAGCAATCCCAGCACGAATACATCGTCACTAAATGGAACAGATATTCTAAGGCAAAAGGGGACGAGGTGTCATACTCGAAGCCACATCAGCCTCAAAGATACGCCGCCCAGGTCCTGAGGCCTGGAAGGACTGGGGATACTTGACACAACTGGGCGAGACTTTTCGTGTTGTATACGTGCGCCTGTTTGGTCAAACTCCTCCCCTTTCCCGAGGAAATCCTGGCGACATCTGGGTCGACACCCGTGACCGTAAGATTTATTATTCCGACCATCTCCAGGTCTGGCAACCTTGGAGAGGACACGAAGATAAGGTCTTTCACCCCATCGTCATTGGATATGAGCTACTCTGGGACGCCCTGAAGAAAACGATATCCTGGGCTTCTGCGACCACAGCTAAAAGACGAAAAGTACAGAAGAATAATACCTCCACCCTCCCGTCCTTAGACATTTGGAATCACTTGGCCGCAATCGATGAAGCAGGACCTAAGCGTCCTCGTCATATTGACATCGCCCCGCCAAGCATCCCTGAGCAAATACTCGCAATCCTTGACTCCGAAAATCTCCTTTCTTTTACTGGCGAATCACCCCCGGATTCAGCTTACAGTCATGTTCACCACGATCCCTCAACCAAGTTGCTTCCAACTGCAATCCTAACCTACACCGGGATATGGAAGCAAGATTCAATCGTCCGTGCCAAAGGAACTCAATTTCCGGAGGATGCGTCAATCTTAACATGGTTCATTGACGGAGGGCTCGAAAGCGAGGTGCGCTATGTCGCCTCTCCCCGTGACCGTTTTCGCTGAGACTTGCGATGTCAGGCCAAGCCTGACCGCGCGCGCAAGCTGGCGACGCGCTTTGGGCGATGGATTCGGGACGATGTCGACGGAGAACTCGAAAGCAAGGTTCGCTATATCGCCTCTCTCCGTGTCCATTTTCGCTGAGACTTGCGATGCAAGGCCAAGCCGAACTGGGATTCGACGTTTTGTCCACTCTCGCTCGGCGTAAACGGTATGCAATCCGGGACAGTATTCCTATCAGTATTGACATCACATAGAAAGCAGCCCATTTTCTTGGTATTCACTGCGGGCACCCAACTATTTTTCTGCCCGAAAAACCCCGTGCGAAAGAGGGTTTGTAGTTTCTGACGGGTTTTCCTGTCAGGAATGCGTAGTTTTTTTCTGCTCGTAAAATTGTAGAAATAGTATGAGTTTTCCCGCAGTTTTGCTGAGTGGAAGATGTTGAGTTTTTCTTTACATTTTGCAAGTGTTAAGACTATCGAAAAATGATGGTTTTCCCTGTAAGAAAAACATAACATTTCCCGTAGGGTTTTCCTAACGGAAAAATGTCAAGTTTTTCGAACGGTATTTCGGTAGGATTTCCTCAAAGTTTTTCGGAGGGGTTTCCGCATTTCCCCGTTATTCTGGTGGGAAATTGGTAGGTAATGCTTGATTTAATGTCAGAAAACTTTGAGGATTTCCGGCAGAAAACCTTTCGAAAGACTTGGCATTTTTCTATCAGAAAAACCACCCAAAAAATGTTACGTTTTTGTCACGGGGAAAACAAATCATTTTCCGGTGGTTTCGACAGTTGCAGAATGCAAGGGAAAACTCAGCATCTTTCTCTCAGCAAGACTATTGAAAAATGCATATTATTTCTGCCATTTTGCTGGCCAGAAAACTCTAAGTATTCCCGGCCGGAAAACCTGCCGGAAACTACAAACCCTTTTTCCCACGCAGTTTTTCGGGCGGAAAGATAGTTGGGTGCCCGCAGTGATTCGCGCACCGCTCGACGCTCCCGACGCTCCCGACGCCCTGCATTTTTCCTTGTCACGCTGTCACAAGCGTCTTGTGGCACTCTCCCGGGCGATCATCGGGCGACGAAGCGGGCACCCAAGCGGGTAACGACTTTAGCGGCAGCTTGAACTTCAAGTTTCTGCTTGTCATTTAGCCCTGCGTAAAACTTCAAATTCAGAGCGTGTTCGAATGCTTAGCCAAACCCCTAGAATTACCACACATTTAGCCTTACTGTAAATTTGATGTTTTGCCTTGGGTTTTGTCTTCGTCCAAATGTTTATATTTGCTACACATTTTACCACTGTCTATACATGAAATATAACTACACATTTTACACCGGCGAAACGTGCAGCAAAAATAAGGATTTAACCTCGCGCTAAACTCCAAGTTTGGCAAAAAAAATTGCCACGCCTCAAATGTTTTTTTTTCGACGTTTGACCAAACATTTAGCCTCCCCTTAAATGTTTGGCTAAACTTCATCAACGCCGCCGGTAGTGTTGCCGCAAGTCAAGTTCAAGTTGAACTCGAGTTGACGTCCCTGGAAAATCGAGTGAACTCGAGCTGTCAACTTTGACGGCTCGAGTTGACTCGAGTCGAGAGCTCCTTCCTATTCTGTAAGGACAATGTCATAGATAAGATAACAACACATTTGACACTACGGTATTTCAAGAGACAATGCATAACCATCAATCTTCGCGGTATACAGAGGGTGTATCAAAGAAAGAGGCAATCTCTTCGACAGACTCAGTTAAGAGATTATTGATTTGACCAGGCTCCACCCCCTCCTCGTCCAGATCGGCCTCCGTGGCCAGAAATCGCGCGGTGAAAGGAATGCGTTCCGAGCGGTAAAGGTACTTTAGGACTTGGAGTACCTCCATCGTCAACGGAGATGTCTTGGACCGACGTAACACATCTGTTTCCTTGCTGGACGAAAAAACCCGCTCACAAGGCACAGCTGAAGCTTGAACCGGCATGACGTCGAGAGCAACACGAAAGAGAAGGGGGAACTGTCGCTGGTTCTCTTGTAGCTACGAGAGAAGTCGTACTGTTAGCTTTGTGATTGCATAAAGAGCATAAATGGTAATTTACACTCCAGGAGTCAACGAGATCGAACCGCAGCAGCTCCGCATCACTCGTAATGACACCGGCAGCGACCCAGCGATTATATTCATCAGCAACAATTTCGCGGTCTTGCGCTTCAATCTGCTCTGACGTGAGTGCTGCCGCCGACTGTGAGGGTGCGTGGCTGGAAGGAGATGGCTCGGTGGCAGCGTTATTCTGGGAATACGACCTTCTGAGAGCCTTGATTCGTGCATAGCCCGATGCTTGCTTGGAAGCGGCCGACGGTGCATAGTCCCGTCGTGTTGGGGTCCCGCTCGGAGTGGCAATTGATGGGGAACCCCGGTTGTGACGAACTTTCTGAAACTCCATCATCTATTGAAATATGAGCAAGCTACTCAATAACAACTTGTGTTTGACTTACAGCATCTTGAACCCATTTGACGGCAGTGGCCGCTTCTGTAGTTGAGCGCTTGCGAAGCCAGTCCATCTTAGTCACCGGATTGATGGCTTCCAATTATCAAATCCTTGTCTGAAATGGAAAAGAAGTTGAGATGTGCTTACCCATCGCTAGCGTGTATAGCCGAGTGCCACGCGCCTTGTCCATGTACTCACGAAGCTTGTCAACGGAGGCTGCAATTGCATGTGCAAGGTTTGGCAGGTGGATTTTGAGGTCCTTGAGCATCTCGATCAAATCCTTGTACAACGGGAGCACGATTGCAAGAGTCGGTGTCTTCTCTGCAGACACAATCTGCTGGACTTCATGAAAAGCCTCAAGGAACTGGCAGATATCATTGAGCACGCGCATCTCGAGCTCGTCGAGCAAATACTCGTCGAGGGAGGGAACTTTCTCTTGAACAAATTTTGTAACCGCCTGTGAATCAGAATTAATATTTTTCGCATTCATGCAAAGCAAATTGAACTTACGGGATACAGACGTAAGAGCCGATTGATCATGAGGTAAATCGATGACCAACGCGTGTCGACATCGCGAAGTAGCACAAGCTCAGGCATGGGGTCAGAACCCCACACTTGGGCGATGTTTCCTTCAATGATTGTCTCCTTGAATGTTTCGCGGCGTTGACCTGAGCTTCGGCAGTTCCTGACGAGCTTCCTGGCCTTGTCAACAGGGTCAGCCTCCAGCGTGTCGTGGTACTCATCATCACAATCGAGCGGGCGCGAGCTGATGGGACCAATTTCGAGCACAGATGCCTCTGCATCCTTGTCCGGCAATTTGACACTCATGTGCTTGAGCCCTGTCTTCACCGAAATGTTGATAACGTGCGGGAAACACCTAGCACACAGATTCAGTAGCCAGGAATCACGAAGAGTAATATGGAATACCTGATGCGGTTGCCATCCCGATCAAAAGGGATGCCCTTTGCGCGGAGAAGGCGCTCAAGGGCAGCCATCATCGTGTTGTTGTTCAATGCATTATCCAGCGTGATAGCCCCAATCCACAAATCATAATTTGTTAGCGGATGAGTGGAATAGAAAGGATTTTGTAAACACTAACCCGCTCAGTTGCACCAACCTCCTTGAGGACTTGCATAAATACCTTGGCAAGGTTCTCGCCGTCATGACTACCCTGCAGACGTCGAAAGGCTATCAAGGTAGACCGAAGTCGCAGTGATCCGTCGGATGCTTCGATCATGTAATGTGCTGTGATCGCCATATAACCTTCGAGCGTGACACGAGACCAGACATCGGACGTGAAAGAAACACGCCCGGCAGAGTTCTACCCATATGAGTTAGCGGGATTCAACTCAATGGTACTTTTACTGACCTGAATTTCCTTGGCCATCTTGCGATAAGATATCTGGAAGGCCTCGGTGATTTTTTTCTTGAGCTCTGTTCGCCCGGGGATATCCTTATCTGTGAGATTACCCTGCCCAACAAAGCAAAGAAGGTCGCGAAGCTCCGGTGATTCTATCACATTGATAGCCTCAAATAATTTTAGCACCCGGTATAGCTTAGCATAGTGAGTAAGTGTAACATACCTGATCGTCTACAGCGATCCACCGAATAAGTCGATCGAAGAAGCCTTGAAGCGAGAACGGCTCGTGATGACGATCTTGCAGTTGCGAAGCATGACCATCGTTGATGGTCTCCCAGTTTTTCAACTTGAGCCTGATAACGTCGTCTCGCCATTCATTGAAGTGGTAGGATTCCAGGTGCTTGCGGATGTTTGAATTGGCGCCGGCGCCATTGGCCCAAGTGGTCCATTGGTCCGATGAGCTGTTAATCAATTAGCCAAGTGATTAAAGAAAAGATGAATCAGGGCTAGACTTACGGACAAGACCGGCAAGCAAGCCGAGCGCCGTCACCAACAGGCGGCTGCTCCTTGTAGCGTTTATCGGTGTCGTGTCGTGCGGGGCAGTCTGCCTTCTTAGCAGAAGGGACGGGGCATATGAAGTACCAAACATCTGATGCAGCCCAGGATGCGCGATCTGATGGGCTACGGTTTTGGAATCCAGGATGGGCCGAAGGCTCGGCGTAAGTGCTTTCCGAAGGGATGGGACCATATCCTGTAGCCGCTGGTATGCGCGGCAGCGGTTGTCGCGCTTCGGGAAGGTTTTGGAGCATTGGCGGCGGCGGCGGCTGAGGTGGAGGTTGGACAGGAGGCGGAAGAGTTTGTGTTGGGTAAACTGGGGGTAACTGACGGGATACAAGCCCAGCAAGCCGTGACGGCGGGCGAGGCATTAGTGGCGCTTGCGAAGCAGGTGGAGTGTTTTCAGCATCCTGGCGGCGTTTCTTGGGTCTACCTCGGGGAGCCGCGTTCGCCGACGCGCGTTTACGAGTGCCGGCCTGCGAAGCTTGCGTGGCCGGATATGACGACAGATTCAGTCCGACTGAAGAAGAATGAAGGGGCGAAGGCGACACAGGTGACTGTGAAATAGATAGCGATGGATCTACGAAAGTGTGTGGGCGATAGTACGACGACGTTTGCGGGGCTGGATGTGATGCTTGACTGATCTGGATCATGGGGGTATACTGAGGCTGTAGGGGCTGCGTTAAATGATACGGCGAGGCAAAGTAAGTTGAGTGCGGCGCGTTCCATTGCGACTGAGAGACGATGGACGGAGGTGTACTAGGTCACGACTCGAAATCGCGCGCGCCGGGGGAAGAGTCGCGCATGGCGCGCAAGTCGGGCTCGCGAGGATCATTGTCCATTGGGGGGAGAAATCTGTTTACATGTTATTCGCGCCGTTCGCGTTTATATCTTGCACTGCGCCCGTGGTGTGCGTGATCGCTCGCGTCGAGAAAAGGGTTTAAACAAAGATTTTTGCAAATTATTGAAGGTACAATCAAGGGCGCTTTGGCCATTATGACAGCGGGCTATCCTATGGATCCCATAATGGTCACCGTACACTAGCGAGAAGTTGAACGGCGTTGGTGCACGCCAGGCGCGGCGTCGATGAAGTGGATGAAGGGAGTATACAAGGTGTGTAAAGCGCCCTAGACTGATAAGATCGTGGCGTATTAGTCACGCTCACGGGCAGCACGTGGAACTCGATTTATCACTCGAGTTTGACAGGCTCAAGTCGACTCGATTTTTACATCTGTCATAATCTGACAGCTCGAGTTGACTTGAACTCGAGTTCTTGGGCTCAGTGGCTGTGTGCTGAGTCAGCGAAATTCCAACCGCAGTCGCCGTAGTCAGCCACCGTGACAAAGTTGTCTTCAGCACATACTTGATCATGCCCGTCGCTCTGCCTGAATTGACGCAGGACCGCCTGCAGGTTCTCAAAGTTCCTGATGATCCCCCGAATCCGGCCAACGTAGCAAAAGCCTACATCTTACTTAACCAAGCCTCCAGCCGCGCTAGTGAGAGACAAATATTCACTATCAGCCTCTATTTCACTGTGCCGGACTCAACCATGAATTTGTCTATATAGTTCACTACCTCGATGGTCGGCTCATCAGCGACGTCGATATTTGCAAGGTGGCGACATATGCCACTCAGCTCATCACTACCAGGATCGGTAAGCAACGCGGCATTTTTCCTTGCCCAGCCTACCTCACGTCTCGATTCAGGTCGCCCGGATATTCGTGACGAAGTGGTGGCTGCCCTTCGTGACACCATGCCAACCCTTTTACAACCTGTTCGAAATGATATCACGCGCGTAAAAACAGAATTAGCCGGTGCTCGACGGGATATAAGGCGAAATGGCCGTCTCATTGGTCTTGTAAGCCATCACCGCTCCAACTCTCTCTCTCGACTGTGCACTTATTGAATCTGTGTTTTTAGACATGGAATGGTAACTCTCGGCCTACAGACACGGCCACGTTTGAGATTGTCCCGTTTCCCAATTTTGAGGACCCGACTACTGCTCCTGTATGTCCAACTTTACGTCTCATCTTGCATGGGTTTCTCATTGCCCGATACCCAGCACAATCTCCCCCCTCTGCATTCACCGCAGGCTATCGACGAGTTAGGGCCTCATCACTTGCGGGCTTACGTTCGAGGTTATCACCCCAATCTTCAAGCACCTGGCGATAGAAATGAATGCATCAAGCTAGTTCTGACCGGGATCGGTGCCTACGGACATGTCCGCGAGTAGTCACTCTGTACCTGCTGTAATCTGTCTACCGTACCTCTGATAACATAGAATGCAAGTTGGATTTGTGAATTATGGATCTTCGCCCCCGTGGGCTCCGTATACACCCATTTGGTCGATTCAGCAGCGTCTGCGACCTTTTTGGCCGCAATAGCGTGAGCATCGAGCGCCGCGGCTGTATAGCTTGTTGGATACGCTGCTCCAGGGGCCGTGATCGTTTGAATGGCTCGGTCTGTTCACATGGGGCTGTAGAAAAGGGGGCCTGTACACAGGAGGCTGATGCTGATGCTGGACAGGAGGCGTAGAGGGCGGCGCCAGGCAGGGCTCTGGAGGTGGGGGACCGTGATCTTGCTCCCCAACGCTGAGGCGGCCATTCTGTTGCATCTCCAACGCCGCGACAGCATCTTGTCTGAATGAAAGCGGTCCGCCGTCTGCTCCTCGATCCTGGCCTCTCTGAGCCTCACAGTCAGCTCGTGGAGGCGATTCTTGTCGATCTGGGGCTGAGCCAGAAGGTTATTGAGATCGTTAACGGCCTGCACAAGCTTCCGTGCTGACTGAGCGTGATAGTGGTGCGCGCCAGCTGCTTCGTGCATTGTGTGCCACATTTTCAGAGCACCCGGGTTGGCGGAGCGCATGTTGAACGGTAATATAGGAACCTGCTTGTTGACATGCGCAGGGGGCTGGGGAAGGTAAAGGCTACTAAGTATGAGGATGGGCGTGCCCTCCGTCCCGTTGGTTCACCAAGGTTTGTGCCTCGGTGACCCTCCGGCCGGCCTGCGCTTCTTGGAGCCTGGCCGCTCGCAATCGGGTGCGTCTATCTTGCAGCTGAGCCTGTTTAGCAACGACCATGTTTTGTATCGCGACGGTGCGAACTCGCTGAAGAAGCCCAATGCGGGCTTGGTAGACACCGTACTTGGTCGCTTCAGCAGCCTCTGCCACACTATTGGCAGCGATGGCATGAGCTGCAAGCGCGGCGGTGGCAGCCAGCTTTGCCTACTGGATTCACTGCTCGAGGGAGCCACGTTGGGCCTCGGTTGCGTCCGTACTTGGGAGAAGCGTACCGGTGATGTGGTCACCGTGATCTGGCAGGACAAGATGAAGTGGTCAGGAGGACGTAGCAAGCGGACAGATGAGAAGGAGTACAATTAACAAGCGATCTGCGATGGAGCATGAAGCGTCGGCGCGCGAGTTTAGCTCGTTGAGGGCCTTGGATGAACACCAAGTGAGCATGCAGGATGAACTGACGTGTGTGGAGACGTACAGCATCAGCGACTGGCGCTGCAGACACGATCTGCGACAAACAGAAGGCGACGATAATCGCCGCTCGCAAAGAGGACCCCATGGCCCGGGTGCACTTGTACCGTGAAGGGTACGAGTGTAAGAAAAGTACCTGATACAAAGGTCGGGTACAAGTTGATTATGCACCAAGAGAGTGTTCACAAACAAAGAAATGGTACGTGCATTCGAACTCGGAGTCCTACATAGGTTTTAAAATCTGTATAAACCAGCGAGTAATGTCAGAATACTTCAACATTTTTGCTTTTGCTGAGCGCGCCATCCGAATGCTGCATTCACCAGAGTCAGACGCGGAAGCTCCCCAGCGTGGCTCTCGCATGCTGCCGCATCAGGAAATCCGTACTTTCATATTTGAATATAATTCTCGCGGGTGTATAACTAATACACAAATGAGAGTCAGTATGCTAAAATATCCTCAAGTATCCCAGAGTAGATATAATTATTTGCGGCCCGCCAAAGTATGGCTAGAATATAGAGGATTAGATTCGAATATGGTGATCGATAAACCGCCTGATATAAAAACTTATCATTGACCATGTCCTAACTAAAAATACGGCAATATACACCGCGTCAGGAGGCCCAAACTTGGGGAGGATGTTGCCGCGTCATGGAAGTCCGTTTGTGCACGAGTAGGACGAAGCCAACGGCTCGGTCAAATCAAGTCAGGGCGTGGGGGCACCAGACGGACGGGCATGGGGCATGTGCAAGGAAACAACCGGGTTGCGGGACACGCGTGGAAGCGCACGCATGCGGCAGGTGCACGGGTGTGTAAATGCGGCGGGGGTTAGCAAGCGTTAGAGGTGGGGAACAACCAGGCTGCGTGAAGCGCCTGGAAGCGCACGCAACGTGGCCGTTACACGGGCAGGTGGGCTAAGGGTGATGTGGATGTGACGGGGATCAGCACACGTCAGAGGTGTAGCAGCAGCGAGAGCTGGTACATGCTGCAGTCAAATACTGCTTGCGCGGATGTAGCCTGCTAAAGTGTTCAGAACACAGGTCCCAGATAAGCAACTTTGTCACTCACCTGTATAACATACCTGCAACCCAACTTTTCAACCAATGCTTTCAGCTCCTGACGTATAGGCTTTCATTGAATAGCTATAATGGATCGTGAGGGTGAAGTGTTGTAGTGACGCGCTTGAGCTTGCACTGGAGTCGTTACGTTGAATATTGAATTTGGTGACCGATAGCGTGGCTCCAAGGGATACGCTGAAGCGCATGGAAGGCACATACATTATTGATGAATTGACACTGACTGGGGGTGACGATGGAGCCAACCGAACATTACTGGTGCGCAAGGTTAGCAAAATGGTGAAGTCTCGATGGACGGCCCTAAATCGTCGGACCGGTAATTACCGGGCCACACGTGAAACGAATTCAACATGGCACAAACAACTGCAAATACATGTTGAACTTGAACGACCACCATCCACCTCCTTCGCCACATACCCCTTCTCGCTGCATGCACGTCTTTGACATCGCCGAGGTGCACATTCTCTCTCTATGACTTTTGCTTTTTACTGATGCTCAAACTAGCTCTGTTCTGACGAGGCCCTGTAGAAACATAGCCCGCCTGCCTGCTTTGTCCTGACCCTCTAGCATGACGTGTGTGTTGCGAGCCATCTACTACGATGGCCATGAGCGCGCGAACCTGATCTTGGTCTTACACAGCCAGGAGTACCTGCAATAGATGTGACGCGCGCCTCGCATGCTTAGCGCCACGCGTCACCTTCAGATGTACCAATGGGTGAGTTATATCTTATTTCTCCGTGCGCATGATCACTCATTGAACCACCTTTGGCTAATTTTGTCGTCCCCCCGCTCATTCGGCGCTGGCATGGCTACTTTCCGTACAAGCTATAGATCACGGCCTCAGCCAAAACACACAATGCTCCCGGCTCGCGCGTACAACGTCGGCGAGGCGTTGTTGCCCGAAATTCCCCGCAGGACTCGTGTGCGATGGAATTTACACAGTGCGTCGCATTCCCTCTAATTTTAACTAAAGTTAATGATTTGCCATGCAGTCACCGGCTTGACTGCCCTGTAATGCTGCTAGCCAGTCGAAGCGATACGCCCCACTTCCACCCTCGAGCATCTGAGGGAAGGCGTCATAGGTGGTCACCGCCGTCGTCGTCATCTCCTCGACACCGCCCCTCTATGCAGTGTTAGGTTGCCGCAGTAGTGATAGGACTGGAACATCGTGTGTAGTTGTAAATGTAGTGTACATTAATACTATCCAATTCTCACTCACGAGAACCACTGAAGAAGATAATATTTGGTCATCCGATACTAGTCGTGAATATTCTTCGCAGCATACAGTGTAGAATATGCTATTATACTGGTGGATTAGCCTGGAATATAGCAAAAATATATTCGTTCTGTTTGGAGGCAATATTTTCGGAGCTATTCGAGATAAGTCTTATAGTGTCTCTATTCCGCCTAGTCGGGATTAAACAAGATATTACAACATAGTGTGAGGTATTTAACGATAAATCTAGAGTAATATGAAAGTACAGATTCCCTGATGCGAACGGCCAACTCGACACCATGGACCAGCAATTGTCGAACGACCGTGTAGACCCTCGTCCTCAAAGGTCTCTGCGCACTCAACCGCAGATATTGGTATGTAGCTAGCGAGCGCCGAGCAAGGCAGAGCTGGGAATGATGGCGTGTGACGTCACTGACCACCTCCGAGGCAAACAAGACCCAACCACACAACAAAAGACAGAGAACACACCATTCGGGTGGCGCGCTAAGCAAAACCAAGTATGTAAAAGGTGTTCTAGCAATATATTCAGGACGATCTCTCCCTAATTCGAGTCGTCTTCCTTCCGAGTACAGAGATGTCCAGCACGCAGTCTGGCTCCTCACTCGCGCACACTCGGAGCCATCTCATCGAACCGTCTGACTGGCACCGCGATGTACGCAATAAGCGTAGCCCGCCTTCAGCACGACATAGAGCATGCTGGATTGCATTTGACCAACACTACGATGCGCGGGGCGGGTTAGCCATTGGGCTTTGTTGTAAGTCATGTCTCCCGATCTCGAGTCGATCACAAGTCCAACCCCATCTTCAGACTGTCTTCCAGAATCTATCAATACTCGGCGTTTCTTGCTCAACCTGCCCGCTGATGTTTGGATTCCTTGGGACGACGGCTTAGCAATGACGACGTGCGGCCATTTCTGTAAGGGGAACCCCCTATTTCGCCATCGGGTTCTGTCGGATTCTGTTCGGGCTGTCTTCCTACACGCTGCCCGATCACTCCTACAAGTCCCCGACGCTGTCGGGAGCTTTCCCACGCATTATCGGGACATCGGGCCCCCCTACGCATCGTCGGGTTCCCGATCCTATTACGTACGCATATATTCTACTTCTCTCTATTCCTATTTTATATTATTAGACCCCCTCTCCATTTTCCGATGCCTCCTATTCTTCCTATTCGTCGTCGGGATCGTCGGGCTCCGATATCGGGATTCTCAGACCCCGATATCGGGCATCGGGTTATCGGGTGGCTGTACACGGCGCATTGCCCATTCGGGTATATGCGCCCGCCCCCTTGTGATTCCTCCCCTTCGTGTACTGTACAGTTCTTTCGTTTCGTTCGCACGCTCCAGTAGTATTAGCCCTCGCCTTGGCAGAGGGGCTCCTTAGACTTGTTATCTTTCGATCCCCCTCTGCTAGGTGCGTAGTATAGTCACTGGATGTATTCCCTATCGTCTTATATATTATCTTTGGATCCCCCTCTGCTAGATCTCGGGCTGAGTGCTAGAGCGTGCGGAGGTTGCCCTTACAATTTCTCAAGCACCCGAGCGAATCGTTCGACTGATCCTAGGTGAGCGATCAGCGGTAGTGATTGCCGATTTGTATCTGATACTTTGCGCATATAGACATCGCGCCGTACGCGCTGTGTCGGCCGTCGAGGTTATTTGTTCGAGTCACACTGATCTTGATCTCCCCTTCGTGATCTGGACGGCTTCATGCGTCGGTAGATGTCTTGCTGTTTTCTGCTAGCAATTCCGGAGGCACTGCGTCTTAGCGGATCGGACGACGATCAATGATGCGAGAATGAGATGGTAGCTGGGAAGATGCTGGGCATGAACGAAAGGCACCTCGTCATCAGGTCCGACGTCTTAGTCGCAGGCTATGCGTGCGTTTCATTTGCGTCCTCCTTCGTATCATCTTCCTGATGATCTATCTATGTAGGCTCCTTGTGGCATTCTACATGCTACGATTTCGTATCCGCAATGTCCTCCTCTCTACTTTGCAAGCGTGTACAAACATCCGCCGCACTATCCGGCTCACTCACTCGTGGACAATCGGGACCACAGCATCGTCGAACAATCTGATAAAACAAAGTCATTGTGAACGCACGATCTCCTGCAGTCAGTTCGATAGGCTCGAAAATCTCCGCGCTCCTGGGAACATCCACAGATACGGGTACGGACTAGGGGACGCACGAATCCCTCGCATAAACGACCCCCCATTCGCTCTCCCAAAGTCGCTTTCTTAAGTCTTGTGCGAGGTGTTTATGCGTCGTCTTCGTCCTGAGCAGCACAACCTGGCGCGTCGAATTCATCAACCCGGACGACTGCGCCACTCATTTGGCTGCACAGTTAAACTCCTCGCAATCGAGATCTTCGAAACCGCATCCGCGTCGGCGTATTGTATGCGCACATAAAGCACGTCGAGATCCCTAGTATGATCATCCTCAAATCGTGGATCGCAACTTTACCTAGGTTGCCTTATGCACAAGGTAAGAGCCTTCATATGTCCTCCTTGAAGATTTCCTCATCAAACATCGCAATATTCACAGCGCATCGTTCATTGACACCCCCTCATCCGAATGACTACTGCCTTACGTGCGCGTAAGCCCTTACCCCATAATCGTAAAGCCAACATACGCAGCACGCGCGATTAGCTCGTCGAAGACGATATCCCCATTTGAAACAACGCACGCGCCGCATCTACCTCGAGGCTCACATTCTGCGTCTGCGACAACTCCGAGCACACTGCCCAGTATCCCAAGCCGGTCTCTCGTCCACTAGAGATACGTCGAGTCACGCCCCGGGTGCGCGACTGAGCAAATCTGGGTGCTCGTGCTTGTGACCTTCACAGAACTCGCCATGCCTCTAGATCCCGTCGAGGCATACACATCGTGGAGGAGATGTGGCTATCGACGCGCCACGTGGCGATGTTCGATACGAGCTGGACCATGACAAGGTATCAGGACACTTTAGGCTACCGTCGTCTTGGTAAATTGTATCAGGAGTGGTATAGCGGGATGGATGTGTTCATAGAGTGGGGTGACGGACGATTTGCAAAGCGTAGGGAGACGAGGAGTGCGTTCGCCACTCAATCTCGCAGGTTATTTGTAAGCCATTTCCTCTGCGTTGAGCCAATGAGAGGCCAACTCTGCCTACTTATTCAAGGCAAAATACCACAATCCTTCAATGACCGTCTTTATGCCTATGAAACGAAGTGATTTCTTCATAACGCGTTGACATCGCCGCGCCCATTGGGCGCCAATTGGATCAATGAAGCCTTTAGGGTTGCCTTGTGCGCGTCAGCGGTACATGCTCCCCAGCGAGGTGGGCTCGAACCTGGCTCTCGAGGACTCCAAATCCTGCGCCAAATCCATCCACGATCGATTGCCTCTGGGCGTACGATTCGAGATGAAGCACTCCTTCACGGGGCATCGCGGGGAAGCTGGTGTAGCGGTCCTCTCGCGCTATATACGGCCGTCATCCTTGCTAAGAATGTGAACGTGTATCATTAACTTAAAGGTACGTGGTGCTCCCTCTTTTTCCTATTTCCCTTAATTGACTCTAATCCACCTCGAACAGCACGATGCTTGTGTACTTGAGCAGTCGCGCACGCCGCCATCCCAATGCATTCGTACCGCTCGCCTTGCACAACATGGGCTGTATCAAAATGCAACCGACCTCATGGACCACCATTATCCAGCATCGCCGCTGTTGCTTTCTCGGCGAACGTCCTGTGGGCGGTCGATGTGACACGCTAAATCATATGGAGCACTCATCCCGCCTCCACCAGTCCATCGAGTCGCCCCGTTTCCCATCGCCCAAGATGATATTTATGATGTCGAACGAGCGCTACTTGTCGCCATTGCTGCGCAACGCGTAAAACACGGGTCACCATGGGGCAGAAAGGCTGCGCGCGCCAGGCTGGGAGTCACCATTTCTGGTGATTATGTGGATGCTGGGGAAAGCTCCAGTGCGGGTGAACCCGAACCTCTTTAACAGGTCACAGCGAAGGATCGATTTTGGTCCTTCTCTCCTCTTCTTCTATACCTCTGTCTCTTTACGACGCGCGATGCCTTCGTTTCTCGTATCTTTCGTTTCCATTGTGCTGTGTTCCTCAATATTCTGTCACCTTCCTACTTATTGTGTTTGAATTTACATGATCTTGTACATGTATTGATTCTTCACCATGAACCCACATTACTGAGAAGTTTCATATCGTTTACTATGGCTCGTCTTGCCTGCTGTATTGATGATAGAACTCAGGAGATCGGGGAGCATGGGACGGTGCGGCTTCATCCAAAGCTCTCTGCGGGGAGACGCGGTGGATAATTGTGTTCGACGACTGGTACGTTTGCGCGCATTCACTTGCGACCCGCGCTTTTCTGACGTCTTAAACTATCAACAGGCCGTTTCCCCGCCGCTCGACGCTTTCCAGATAGCTCTCCTGCAGTTTCGGTCATACGCATCTACTGTGCGCATGCGTGATGCGTCCATGTCTCAGCGCTCTCTCAGGAAACACCTCCACCTCCGCACTCAGGACACTCTGCATCGCACCTGTGCTGACGCGTCTGTGCCCATCACATGCTCCGAGCTCGTTTCGCATCTCCAGGCCCACGGGATAGATTTTGGCGCGCGCGCAGACTTGACGCATGCAGTCCCACGCCTACAGAGGCATGCAGGCTACCGCCAACTGCTGTGTGCAGCCGGCTGCACACAGCCGGATTTGGGTGATTTTGTGTGCCTTATGGAAATGTAGGACAAAGATGGCCAGTGAACTCACGAGTGGGCGATATTTTCCTCAAATTGGGCCATACAGGGCGAGAAATATCAGCAGCTAGGGTGCACTGCATGGGTGCACGGACGTGACCGATTTAAGACGGATTAAGCGGGTTAAGCCCGCATGGCTCACCGCCGCTGATTCAGTGCCCGCGCTCTGTTTGCGTCAGAGACCACGGGGACCCCGAGGACTCATCGGTACTATCGAGACGGTCTGCGTCCGCCGTGTCTCTATATACCAAGGTCCAAGACGTCTGTCGTGATCCCTGCGGTTTAGCTTGTTGAGTCAGGTCTACGTGCCCGACGTGCCCTCAGTTGGTCTCAATTCTAGGGATAGACAAATCTACAGAACCTACGCTCTCTGGGCTCTTACCGGCTGTCACGGCGCTCAGATCTCAGAGATCGCCTAGCTTTCGACTGCTCTAATTCGCGGTTTTTTTTTTCAAGCATTGACATGCAGGCAGGCAACTCGCTTTAACTTACCTGGTTCGCGCCAAAATGTGGGACCTGGGCCATTATAACGTCACCCCTGCGTCGTTGAAAGCTTTCAATATTTTGTTTTGACTTACAGGTGGAACGAGGCGAACAAGGCCAACTACAAATCTTCTTTAATAATTTACAGAATTTAATCTTTTCAAATTTCAACGTTGAAGACATTTGATTAAGTATCACGGTATTCAAGCTATGTGAGCTATCTAAGCCATTTGAGTGAAATTGCTGAAATTGCTTGGCGGAAAGTGTCAGGCGCAGTGCAGTGTATGGTCATAAGTCGGGTAAGTTGGTAATAAGCGTGATGAGACATTGTTTTCGAAGACGACTCGCAGCCAGCGAGCGTCACGGTCGCAAAAAAAGAGTCGCGGACACCGCGAACACCGCGAACACCGCGAACACCGCGAAGTCCCTAGAACTGCTTGAACAAGCTGAACAAGTACCTTGGCAACGCGCCGACGCGCCGTCAACGTCGCTGTCCGTCCCGGCCGTCCCGTCCTTAGCGCCTCGGGCGCCTTGCAAAAGTCGCTCGAATTCTGCGAATTCTATCTAGTCATTGTGGGGGCATTTTGGGGCATAGATTTTGGCATTGTAGCTCGGTAATTATTGACAGGGATAGCGTCAAAATCATAGTCGTCCAACAGCACGTATTGAGGCTATCGAGGAATAACCACAGGGCAACTTACTAGCACTGCAACAGAACCGTCGACGAGGAACAAGCTCAACGAGCTTGAGCAGAAACAGGAGAAACATAAAGTGATGCTTTACATACGAACGAGGTGAACTGAGGCAAACTAGCAGGATACATCATCGCGGACCGTACCAAGTGTCCCAATCGTACATCATACACCTCGTCCCATTACTCAATTATGCCGCACCACCCGCCTGCACGCCCGTATTCATCCGTCTCCCTGATCAACCTCTTCACCTGGCCTCGCCTCTGCCCATACTCATCCAGCATATCCCGCGGGCGGGGGCCCGCCCACATTAGGCCACCACTTCTCGACGTTGCGCAGGCGCGAGAGGTACGCTGACGCCGCTGCGCTGGGATAGATTTTGGTGCGCGCGCAGACTTGACGCATGCAGTCCCAGCTGCGCTTAAGCACTTGAACTACAAAGCGCGGAATAGGGGAGGGAGGGAGGGGCTGCCGGGGAGCCGCGGGATGGGAAACGGGTTTGAATACAAGGGGCAGCTCAATGAGGTGAAACGCCTGCGAGATGTGCGGGGTGAAGGCCACAACGGCGTTGTCCAAGCGGAGGGAGGTAAATTAGAATGCCAGTTCCATGAAATGCGTTAGCGCGGACAAGGGGTGGAGGCATTGTGGGCATATGGGAGCGGGCTCTGCGGATTCTTCATCGTGTCTGATGCGAAAGCGGGTCAGGCTCAGGAAGCGCAGGAAGCGGGAGAGCGCTGGCGCGAGGTGGCCATTCGGCAGTTCGGCGTATGATGCATGTATGATCACATGTAAGTAGTGCCTCGAGTTGGCTCGAGTTTGTCCGGTTTGGGAAGTGCACTGCATTCCGGGGGATAGCATTCCGGTGACGAAGATCGTAAGGTCTTTAAGGCGCGCGAAAATTTGGGGATGCGCGGGATGCGGATAAGGCGCAAGGAGAGGAATAAGCAGGCATCCATACTTCAACGTCTCTACACAGGGCAGCACACAGAGCTCGAGGCGAACGTCTGGTGCTACCGGGGAGAGTATGTCGAGGGATCGCAAGCGACAACACCTTCTCCGTGCCTATCATAGCTATCATGGACAGCACATGTGGAGGTTCGTGCATGCTGAGGTGATGGGTGGCGCCAAGCATGTAATCGCATCGCTCAACGCAAGCGACGGAAAGATGATGGGAATGTAGAATTGGACGGGATGCGATGAGAAAAAGAGGAAAAGGTGGTCCAGAGCGGGAGCACGATGCTGAGGTGTACGTCAGACTTGGTAGGAAAGGCGGCTCTGGGTAGAAAGGCCGAGCTCTTGTAAGC